TCTTTAATTGAATCCAATAAAATTACATTTATTACCAAAAAACTATAACAATAACAAAAACGTCAAAGGGGTAAATAAGACAATTCACAACATTCCGGTATATTCGCACCCAAACCAAAACCTGCCACGTAGCAATATTTCCTCTTCCTTTTTCTCTGTCTCTGGAAGAAACGTAGAAATCAGAAAGTAAATTATACAGTCAAAACTCTAATAAACCGCTTCTATAAAACCCTTTTTCGCTCGATCCCAAAAACCAAACCAAAACGCTCTCTCTAAGAAAACTGGTGCGAATTCTATTAACGATGGCGAAGAACATTTTGGTTACCGGCGGCGCTGGTTACATCGGGAGTCATACTGTGCTTCAACTGCTAGAAGGTGGTTACTCCGCCGTCGTTGTTGACAATTACGACAATTCCTCCGCTGCTTCGCTTCAGCGCGTGAAGAAACTCGCCGGCCAAAACGGAAACCGCCTCTCTTTTCACCAGGTTCCGTTTCGTTGCTGATTTGGTTTAGGAAACGTGTGCTTGAAGAATTTCATTTCATCGTTTTCGTATTGGTTTGGATTTCTACGAAGTAGACGAGTCCTTAATTGTTTGTTATTCAGGGTTTGGATTAAATTTTGATAACAGGTTGTTTATTGATGATGTTTGATTCCAGGGTTCCGGTTACCATGTGACTGATTTTTCTTTGTGTAGACATAATCCTGAATAAAGTATTGATGATGCCATGTGAAAGGAAGAGTAATTTAATAGTAGTGTTATTCTAAGTGCTATCATTTTTTTATATTGACAAGGTTGATCTGTCTGGAATTGGGATGTTCTTGGGGAGGGCTAATCAGAATTTTTATCATTTTTTTAACAATAGCCTGCCATTGCAGAAATCAGAATCTGTGGTCAATTTTAGTCTCTTAAAACTCTATTTTTCTGTGCACCTGCAGGTGGATCTTCGAGACAGGCCTGCGCTTGAGAAGATTTTCTCAGAAACTAAGTAAAAAACTCTTCTTTTTATGACTCTTCCACTTGAAGAATGATTATTAGAGTGTTGATATTATTGAGGGGTCGAATTTTGATGGAAACGTGGAATTATTTTAGGTTTGATGCAGTGATACACTTTGCTGGACTTAAAGCAGTAGGTGAAAGTGTGGAGAAGCCTCTGCTTTATTATAATAATAATCTTGTTGGTACTATTACTCTTTTGGAGGTTATGGCTCAATACGGCTGCAAAAATGTAATTTATTCTTTCTCTTCAGTTTGCTAATTGCCACCACATGCATTCCCTTTTTTTGTTTGATTATTTTTCCCTTTTTGAATTTTGTCTTCATTGATCTCATTATTGGGTCTTACCACTCTGTTTTCCAGCTTGTGTTTTCATCATCAGCTACTGTCTATGGCTGGCCTAAAGAGGTTCCTTGCACTGAGGAGTCCCCAATTTCTGCCACAAACCCATATGGCCGTACAAAGGTAGTACCTTTAGCCGGAGTATTGACCCAAACCCACCTTGTGATTGTGATGATGAATGATAATAATCAGGAAATGAATCTGACTAAGACTTTTTGCTTATGCTGTGTTAGCTTTTTATCGAGGAGATTTGCCGGGATGTACATCGTTCTGACCCTGAATGGAAGATCATATTGCTTAGATACTTCAACCCTGTTGGTGCACATCCTAGTGGTTACATTGGTGAAGATCCTCTTGGAGTTCCCAACAATCTCATGCCTTATGTCCAACAAGTTGCAGTTGGCCGGAGACCTCACCTTACTGTCTTTGGAACCGACTACAAAACAAAGGACGGTACAGGGGTATGTATGTCTTATGATGTCTCCTATAAGACAAGAAATCATTTGACAGATTTACATTACAATCTTAAATTGTGTTAGAATGTGGAGTATGGGAGATAATACAACAAATTGTGAAGTATATTAACATATTTTATCCATCTTTGTTGTTCTTCTTTCAGGTTAGAGATTACATTCATGTCATTGATTTAGCGGATGGACATATAGCCGCTCTGCGCAAGCTAGATGATCTCAAAATCAGTAAGGATCATCTTTAAACTCTTTTATGTTTATCCTCTCTTTTTTTTTTTTTTTTTTTTTTTTTTTTGAACAAATGTTTATCCTTTCCTTATGATTTGCCATTGGATCTAAGCTTAATTCTTGGAAATTATCAGGTTGTGAGGTATACAATCTTGGAACGGGTAATGGAACGTCGGTCCTAGAAATGGTTGCTGCCTTTGAAAAAGCATCCGGAAAGGTAAACCACTAAACCATAGTTGATTTGTATACTAGAACAATGCTCTAACAAGTGAGCCAGTTATTGGCCTTTAATACCCAATCTTTTTATCATTGTTTTTGAACTTTTTGATTGTTTACCAATTAGAAAATCCCGTTGGTGATGGCTGGAAGACGTCCTGGAGACGCTGAAGTGGTTTACGCCTCAACGGAAAAAGCAGAACGCGAACTGAATTGGAAGTAAGCTCATTTTATTTTGTCTTTGTCAACATAATAGAAGAATTGTAACTTGGAAAAAGTGGCAATTTAGCAAATAGCAATAACTATATGAATGACAAACATGAAATCAGTGCATCAATCTCTCAGTTATGGTTAATTATTTTGTACGACGAAAAAAAAAAAAAAGTTAATTATTTTGTATTTAGGCAGTTTTTTTTTGTTTTGTTTGGTATGAATGCAGGGCTAAGTATGGGATAGAGGAGATGTGTAGGGATCTATGGAATTGGGCAAGCAATAACCCTTACGGCTACAATTCCTCCTCTAATGGCTCCTCTTCATAATTCTCCTTTTTTATTCTTATTTTACCTTTTTGCTTACTTATTCATATAAACAAACACATGAAAAAGGAGAGGCTGACAAGTACCCAAACTTTAGAAGAAAATTGGGGAAAATTCGTGTACAATTAATTTATCATAGAAACTATATTTATTAAATCGTCAGTTCATACATTTTCAGTCGTTTTAAGTTTTTTTCTTGCATTTGTGTATTTGTTATATTTTTCTTATATTTATGTATATAAATGTGGATCATTCATTTTTGGTCGACTAAAAGAGAATCCGGATCATTATTTGGATACAAAAACGAAAACAAGGAAAATAATTAGCTAGATAATGATCTCCACTTGTGCCTTTCGCGCGGCAATAATCCTCTGGGTGAATCGGTAGTACACGGCATACACAACTACTTGGACTAATCCAAGTAGTGTGCATAACACAAAGGAAACCTGAAATACAAAGACATCAAATATAGTTATTGAAAAATCAACTTATGTGTTTTTCTTTTCCAGAATTCGGTATATTTAATGTAAGTGAATAAATAATTTTAAGGAACAAAAGACTTACAAACATTATTGGATCAACAGGTAGTAGAGAGACCACGGTCCAAACGGTTGCGTTTGCAAACATTGCAAACGCTACCAAAAAGGACATATGCTCGACGCTCTTAGTTCTTACAACTTTCATCTGCATTTTATCATTATTTCCTTGGTAAAAACTTTGTGTTTTATTTTTCGTAGTAGTAATGCAGGGCCATTTATTAATCTTTGATATTAAAAATATAAACTTACCAATACAGATACCGGAGAAATATACATGAGTATATTGCAGATGCAACAAACATCCCCAATCACAAATCGCCGTAGTCCCATAGAATCGACTTAACTCAAAGTCAACGTGGCAAATGCAGCTACGAATACGACCTCGACTAGCAAAACAATGATATTCACTAGTCGTTGCTTAGACTGCTCACAAAATCTAAAATATGCGACCAGATAGATCGTCATGATCTCGACTCCAATCCCATTAGTGATGAGGGTAAAAGTCCCACGAAATAAAAAGACTTACAAACATAATTGGATCCACCGGTAATAGATAGACGACGGTCCAAACGATTGCGTTCGCAATGTTCACAACTTCACATACTTAGCTTGTTCTTTGTTCCACCTCATAAAAATAATTTAAGAAAATGGTTTCTTTAATCAAATAACAAGTTCTCTCACGATGCAGAGAAAAAAGTGCAATCTTTATAGAAATATGAAAATAGCATGTTTGAAACCTATCTTTTAGATGGTAATGAATTATAAATATATAGATGCATGCATAACATTATTATGCATAACATAAGTAAAACAAATACATAACATAAGCAAAACATAAGCATATTTTGTTTCTGTGCATATCACATCACCTAGAACTTGTTTAGGAATGTAAAGTAAATAAGAATAAGAGAAGAAAGAGGTAAAAAAGATAGATAAAAAAGCAGAATTATATGCCTTAAATAAGAAAAATGGGTTATGGCTATAAGAGTATTACCATTTACTATACATAAAACGTTAATCCAAACAAGGAATTCGGAGAGCATGCATACGCTTAATGCGATTGTATGGACTATGGAGTCTTTATTCTTTGCTCTCTCTCGATCAGTTTATGGCCGTAAGACCATCCTTATTCAATAATTTTTTATGGATGTCTTCAATATAAATTCATACTAAATTTAAAAATACCCTTAAAATGAGGGTCTAAGTGTCTCTAGAAAGGCACAACTTTTTATTTAAAGATACCCATATTTTTTATTTTATCTTTTACATTTAAAGATATCTATATAAAGACAACCATAAAAATAACAAATGTAGATGCTCTAAATAGCTTATTTTTAGAGGGAAAAAAAAAAAATGAAAGTAGCTTATTTTCCTATCTTGTTTTCTTTTATAATACTATATATTTTTAGTGACGGTGGTATATTTTTGGACTGATTCAGTTGATATTATATGATGTATTCTATAAATCAACTAGAAGGATTATAGAGAGAAGCAGTGGCAATACTGAAATGGCTTAGTCTGTTGTGATCGGCCACACTGAACCGCGAAAATCTTCCATAGACCAGATATCACTTTCAACCAAAGAGTCTTTTCCAGTATAATTAAAAAAAAAAATATGGTTATCATGTTACATGTAGGCTTCAATAAATGTATATGGTATTGTATTGCTTGTTGTTTAAAAAATATTGTCATTTGATATGTTTGAACTTTGAAGTAACACGTCCACCTAATAAGAGGTTTACATACATGTGTTTGGAAAAAGTACATGTCACTTTTATACAATTTGTTTTTCATATTAACAACGGACGGCTACGATGGAACCATCACTCGTGGAAATCGCGATCCTACAATTACATTTAGCCGCGATTCGGTGAGTAAACAAACCGAGAACCCGAACCCGACCCGCCATCTCCAGCTTCGACTCTATTTCCACTGTTGACCCGGATCCAAAATTCTGAAACTCAGCGGCGGAGATTTGAGAATTAGAGGCGACCGCGAGAGGAAACGACTGAACGGAGAAAGTAGCTAACATACGCTTGGTTCGACCCGATCGGATCTCACCAGCCGGTACGAAGGTATAACCGATCCGGTTTCCATAGTAAAAGAGCTGGATTATGTTGTTGTAGTGTGAGAAAGCGGCGCGGTTAGGGTTTCTAACGGTGGAGAATTGAGAGAAAGTGAAACTAACGGAGCTATTGGCAACGGAGAATGACGGGACCTTGACGTTGGTGACGGAGATCTCGGGATCTCTTGGTCTAAATACTGTGAGATAAACGGTAAGGGCGGCGATGATTAGGAAGGCTATGAAGAGTGTGGCGACGGCGCATGAAGCGAGGTTTGAACAAGACTTGGACATCTCTCGAAGGAGATGTGTTTGGTAGCGATGTTTTAAGTGTTCGCCGGTAGGGATTAGAGTTTGTTTAAAGGGAAAGCAAAGGGACGTGTAAAGCAAAAGGGTGTTTTGTTTGGACATAGTGATAACGTTACAACGGAGTTTGGACTGAAGTGTGTGTGATGCAGCAAAGGTGGCCGACTAGAGCTAGAAAAAAAAAACAAAGAATTAAATAATTTTATGGAACCATTAATTGTGTCAATAAAAACCCGGAACAGAAACCGGGTTTTGAAGTCGGGTCGGATTGAAAGCGGCGAAGCGAATTGTTGTAATTTAGAGAGGTTAACAGAACAAAACCCCCCTGAGATTGAATAAACCTCCGATTGCTCTTTTTCTTATCCAGAACCAAGGCAGATTCTAATTTCGCAATGCGATTCTAGTGAACCATCTTTTTCTCAGTACATGGTTATGGTCTTAAAATGGCGTCTGTAGACACTATCTTCTCCCTCGGTACTCGTTTCCCAGAAACCCCCAGGAAATCGATCTGGAGTGTTGCAGCGAAAACTCGATGGAGAGCTCCAATTCTGCGTCGTTCGTTTACAGTTTTGTGCGAATTGAAATCTCGTTCCAACGAGACGAACAATCCCCCACCTGCTGATGATTTCGTAACTAGGGTTCTGAAGGAGAACCCTAGCCAATTGGAACCTCGTTATCGAGTTGGAGATAAGCTGTATAATCTCAAGGAGAGAGAGGATTTAAGCAAAGGCGCCAATGCTGCGACGGGTGCGTTTGAATTTATCAAAAGGAAGTTTGATTCGAAGACGAAAACGGAGACAGAGAAAAGCCAAGAGTCTGTTTATTTGAGTGATATTTTGAGGGAATACAAAGGAAAGCTTTATGTTCCCGAGCAAGTTTTTGCTCCAGAGTTATCTGAAGAAGAGGAGTTTGAGAAAACTGTTAAAGATTTACCAAATTTGAGCTTGGAAGATTTTAGAAAAGCTATGGAGAATGATAAAGTTAAGCTGCTGACTTCCAAGGAAGTTTCTGGTGTTCCTTACACTAGCGGCTATAGAGATTTTATTGTTGATCTTAAGGAGATTCCCGGAGTCAAGAGCTTACAGAGAACCAAATGGTGAGTTAATAGGATTAAGAAGAAGATAAATGGTTTTAGTTTTGATGTATGGAGAATATTGGTTTGATTTCTTTTTGATATGTTTCTTCGTAGGTCAATGAAGCTTGAAGTTGGAGAGGCTCAAGCTCTTCTGAAAGAATACACCGGTCCGCAGTACGAAATAGAAAGGCACATGACGGTGATCACTCTTTTGTTCATTTGGATCTTCTCTACTAGATTATATAATCTAATGTCCTCTATATTTTTGTATTGTGTTGGTTAAGAATTTTTTAGAATTTATTCACTAGGTTGACAAACAGATGTACTGTGTTCGGTTATTGACTTAGTTTTCTGCTATTAAATGTTTGTTTGCAGTCTTGGGTTGGAAAAGTGACGGACTTCCCGAACCCAGTCGCGTCTTCTATATCAAGTAGAGTGATGGTTGAGCTAGGAATGGTGACAGCAGTTATTGCTGCAGCGGCAGTTGTTGTTGGAGGATTCTTAGCCTCAGCTGTTTTTGCAGTCACTAGTTTCGCCTTTGTCACTACAGTTTATGTTGTTTGGCCTATAGCAAAGCCATTCCTCAAACTTTTTGTTGGCATCTTCTTCGGTGTTCTTGAAAAATCATGGGATTACCTTGTTGATTTTCTCGGCGATGGGGGGATCTTCTCAAGGATTTCTGATTTCTATACATTTGGTGGTGTATCATCAAGCCTGGAGATGCTCAAACCAATCCTACTTGTTGTCATGACTATGGTTCTTCTTGTTCGTTTCACACTGTCTCGGAGACCAAAGAACTTTAGGAAATGGGTATAATACTTTAATCGCTTAAAACTTTTTTTGCTGAATTTATCGATATTGCTTGTGCCCTCAATCACTTAAAACTTTTTGCAGGATTTATGGCAAGGGATTGCTTTTTCTCAGTCTAAAGCAGAAGCTCGTGTTGATGTAAGTTTCTAACTATTACTCATATATGTACGTTTCTTCAGTTCTAATACCTTTTTGGTTGAGTTTTTTATGACTTCGAATGATTATGTTACAGGGTTCAACCGGTGTTAAATTCGCTGATGTTGCAGGGATTGATGAAGCAGTTGATGAACTTCAAGAGGTATTGTTTTTTATGCTTGCGTCAGTTCTTCCCTGAGTATGGATCTCTTGTTTTATTATGTGCACTCTTGGTTAGCGTAGCCTCTAAACCCCTTTACCATTACGGCTCCACTGCTACACCATCAAGTATAAAGTTGCATGATATTATTTCCTTGAAATCTTGGAAGCTCGAGAGAAACCGGGAACTGAAGCTTACTACCTCTTATTGTCATTACGATTATCTCATTTTCTTGATAGCTTGTAAAGTATTTGAAGAATCCCGACCTGTTTGATAAAATGGGAATTAAGCCTCCTCATGGAGTTCTTCTGGAGGGTCCCCCGGGTTGTGGCAAGGTATGTCTAACCATCTATGTTAATGCCAATCTAAAAGATTTGTTGTTGTAAGTAGTGGATAGTAATTTTGTAGCAGCATTATACTTTAGAATACTAAGAAATACTATAGATAATCAAACTTGCAGCAGTGCATGTTGAGATCAATTCTGCTGAGGTTGATGGTTGGATTTCAGAGTATGCTGAGTGTTGGCGATTTCATAATTTGGCGCTGAAACTAGAACGATCTATCTTCACTACTTCTTCAACTTAAACCTGATATTTGTCTAAAAAAAGTTTTGAATTTAGATGCCTTTAACAAGTTATTTTTTATTCCATATTCTCGTTTTAGATCTTATAAAATGTCAATGTTTTATACAATTGTCAATGATCAGTTAACCTCTTACATAGTCGAGTTTTTTCTACAAGGATCTTTTGACAACCCAGTTGCTAGCAATATAGAGCCTAAGTGCCTAACCTAACCTGATTTGCTTTCGTAGACACTCGTTGCAAAAGCCATTGCGGGGGAAGCTGGTGTGCCGTTCTACCAAATGGCAGGATCTGAATTCGTTGAAGTTCTTGTTGGAGTTGGTTCAGCACGTATCAGAGATCTGTTTAAAAGAGCTAAGGTGATTGGACATATGTGTATTTATGCATTTCTGTACAGAGATGTTCAATAGTATTTGATGATGTCCTTGTGCAGGTAAACAAGCCATCCGTTATTTTCATCGATGAAATCGATGCCTTAGCAACTCGGTATACACAATTTTCATCTTATAGTTACTGCCTTCTCTGCGTAAGTTTTCAACTTGAGACAGAGTTTAACTGATATCTCTCTTATATTTCGGTATTCGACTATTCGTTAGACGTCAAGGAATTTTCAAGGAAAACTCAGACCAGTTGTACAATGCAGCCACTCAAGAAAGAGAAACCACATTGAACCAGCTACTCATCGAGCTTGATGGTTTTGACACCGGCAAAGGTGTGATTTTCTTGGGTGCCACCAATCGCAGAGATTTGTTAGACCCTGCTCTTCTACGTCCTGGCCGATTTGATCGAAAGGTTTGTGATTAACAAAATCCAGACACAAAATCTTCTGCGCTTAGATTTTTGATAGCAGTTATTTTGGATTAATAATATGCCAAACCAAAATCCCAAGCCATTTGATTTTATCTTGCATTAATTTAGTAGACTTAAGAGTTTCTGAAAGACCGTCAAAAATAATCTTTTTATCAGATAAGAGTCCGTCCCCCTAATGCGAAAGGGAGATTGGATATTCTGAAGATTCATGCCAGCAAAGTCAAGATGTCGGATTCTGTGGACTTATCATCTTATGCAAGTAACTTACCAGGTATAAAATCTACAATTGATGTTGCAAAGAATTTTGGTTTTGCTCATGGTGTTGTGTTTGAACGTATTGGTCTGTATAAAACTTTGATTAAAGTAATGGTTTATGTCGAATACAGGATGGTCCGGAGCAAAACTGGCACAGTTGGTTCAAGAGGCTGCTCTTGTAGCTGTCAGGAAAACGCATAGCTCGATTCTTCAATCAGACATGGACGACGCTGTGGACCGACTCACTGTTGGTCCGACAAGGATTGGTTTAGAATTGGGACATCAAGGTCAGTGTCGTAGAGCCACAACTGAAGTCGGGGTGGCAATCACTTCACATCTTTTATTGCGGTATGAGAATGCAAAGATTGAGCGGTGCGATCGCGTTTCTATTATCCCTCGTGGTCAGACACTGTCTCAAGTTGTGTTTCATCGGCTTGATGATGAGTCCTACATGTTTGGTCGTCTTCCACAACTGCTTCATCGTCTTCAGGTGATTCTTTTTCTATATTAAAAACTCTTCTTTCATTTCTTTAATATGAATTCAGTTTTTAGGCTCTGGTTTGGTTTGTATGCCCACCTCTATTTGATGTTATGAGTGTACTTCTAAAAATTTCTATTTCAGGTCTTTCTCGGAGGAAGAGCTGCAGAAGAAGTGATCTACGGTTCAGATACTTCAAAGGCATCAGTCGATTATCTCTCTGATGCCTCATGGCTTGCTCGTAAAATCTTAACCATGTAAGGCCCAACTTTGCATATTTTCACATTGCCCTATCAAGTAAAAGCTTCTTCTTGCTCAAGACTTATATATTTGGATTTCAGATGGAACCTGGAGAACCCAATGGTCATACATGGCGAACCACCACCATGGAGAAAGAGGGCTCAGTTTGTTGGACCACGCTTAGACTTTGAAGGATCTCTCTATGACGACTATGACCTCGTCGAGCCGCCGATTAACTTCAACATGGATGATGAAGTCGCACAGAGAAGCGAAGAACTCATTAGCCAGATGTATAACAAAACAGTTTCTCTCCTCACGCAAAACCAAACTGCTCTCCTCAAAACCGTTAAGGTAATTTCAAACATTTAACCGCAATTGCAGCTTTTTTTGTTTGTTCATACTGTTATTTTCGTATGTGTAGGTTCTGTTGAACCAGAAAGAGATAAGTGGAGAAGCAATAGATTTCATACTTGACCAGTACCCTCCTCAGACTCCGTTAAATTCACTCTTACAAGAGCAAAATCCGGGAAGTCTTCCTTTTGTCCCTGAACACCTCCAGCGTGAATCCGGCGACTTTGTCCTTGTTAATCACTCTACGGACGTCAATGCTCAAGCATGATTCCGGCGTCCCAGAGAGATCAAATCACTAAGCTTAGGTTTATTCTTTGTCCGGCATTGTAACTTTGACTCAATCTCTGAAGTTTCGGACTGTTTATTTTACAGAAATAAAGAAAAAACTTGGGTCAAAGACACTTCTTGATTTGCTAACAATAGATTTGACAAACTTAAGTATTAATTTAGAAACAAAAAAAAAGTTTTTAATTCCGAAGAAATCGGTCTCTCGACGGACAAAAGTTTGGTTCTTGTTTCAAACCACACAAGACAGCAACAACAACACGAGTCATGCACTATCTCTCTTACCTTTTTTCTTCTTCATCTGTCTTCTTTTGCTCTTGTTCCTCGTGCCCTCTTCTCCGTTTCTCCAGATACAGGTCATAGTCAAACAACCAACGATCTCTCTGGACTCTCTCCATCTGTGCATGTACATACACGAGTATAGATCTCTGCTCTGCTTACAGAAATGACGAGGCGCGGAATGTGTTCGACGATATGCCTGAATGAAAAATTGCAAAGGTTCCGAATTGTCAGAATCTCCGAAAAGGCTGATAATGTTAATTCAAGAAGCGGAAGCTTCTTCGAGCGTTCTATCTCTCTCGTTCTCTTACTCTGGTGCTTCCTTTTCCTCGTCTACTCCAAGCTTGGCCAAAGCCATGATTATGATTATGGTAATGGAGGTAAATGTTCTTCCTTGTTTCTTCTGTAATACATGTTTCAGATGTTAATTAAGGAAAGTTTGATCTATGAAATTATAATTATCTTTGGGAAACAAATTTAGGATCTTTAAACTTGGGTATATTCCAGAGATTGCTATACTGAAGAAAGTCATTTACTTTGTAGATAGAATTGGGAATTACACTGATGGATCAGTCTCAAAGACCCTGAATACCACGAGTTCTGTCTTCCCTCAGGCCTCTGGGAAAGAAAACAACTATTGTCTTCTGAGAAACGGTCAGTTACAAGATGTGTATGAGCATGTTCTTGGGAACAACGCTTTGTTGATTTGCAAAATTGTGCTGCCAGAACGAAGAATAAGCAAGAAGACCCTGGAAGCTCGTGATCCAAGATATGGCAATCTTGAAGATAAAAGTCTCAAAGTAAATGGCTCGGGCTTGCCATCACAGCTTGTGAATAATGTGACTCATTATAGGGTAGAACCAGATGGAACTGGGTATAACTACGCTGCTGCTATGAAGGGAGCGAAAGTAGTGGATCACAACAAGGAAGCAAAAGGAGCTAGCAATGTGCTTGGCAAAGATCATGATAAGTATCTAAGAAACCCCTGTTCAGTGTCAGATAAGTATGTTGTGATTGAACTCGCGGAGGAGACCCTGGTCGATACGGTGAGAATTGCGAATTTGGAGCACTACTCTTCGAATCCCAAAGAGTTTAATATGTCAGGGAGTCTGAGTTACCCAACCGATATGTGGACCCCCGCTGGGAGTTTCATGGCTGCAAACGTTAAGCAGATCCAGACATTCCGGCTCCCGGAACCTAAATGGTTGAGATATCTTAAACTGAACTTAATTAGTCACTACGGGTCTGAGTTTTACTGTACTCTGAGTATTGTGGAGGTCTTTGGAATTGATGCTCTTGAGCAAATGCTTGAAGATCTGTTTGTTCCATCAGAGACTCCTCCCAGTAAACCAGCTATGCTGGAACTAAAAACCGCAGATGAAAAAGAAGTTGGGGAAGTGAAAAGCAATAGGACAGATCAGATTGGCAAGGAAACTGAAGCTCAGAAGAAGAAAGATGATGTTGTGAAGACGATTAACATCATAGGAGACAAAAAATATGAAGTCAGGGAGAAGCATAACGTTTTGAAAGTGATGATGCAGAAAGTGAAATTGATTGAGATGAATTTATCGGTTCTTGAGGATTCTGTAAAGGAAATGCATGAGAAGCAACCAGAAGTTAGCTTGGAGATGCAGAAAACCCTAGTACTTGTGGAGAAAAGCAAAGCTGACATCAGAGAGATTACAGAATGGAAAGGGAAAATGGTAAATTCAATAATTTGTTAAGATTCTAAGTCTTTGTCCGTTGAAAAAACTACTAATGAATATGATATTTTTTTAGCAGGAAAAGGAACTTAGAGACCTAGAGCTATGGAAAACTCTTGTAGCTTCCCGTGTAGAATCATTGGCCAGAGGAAACACTGCATTGAGGTCAGTACTGTTTTGTATTCCTAAATAGAGAAAATCGAAGATTTGAAATCTACAGCAGAGAGCTATCCCATGACTTGAAACGTATTCTAAGCTGACCCCATTTTTTTCTTGTTTCTTGAAATCAGATTGGATGTAGAGAAGATTGTGAAAGAACAAGCAAATCTAGAGAGCAAAGAGCTGGGAGTTCTATTGATAAGCCTCTTTTTCGTGGTCTTAGCAACGATTCGGTTAGTCTCAACACGACTCTGGTCGTTTCTGGGGATGTCTTTTACGGATAAAGCTCGAACACTATGGCCGGATAGTGGCTGGGTCATGATACTGCTAAGCAGCAGCATCATGATTTTCATTACTTTACTCTCTTAGTTAAGCATACATAGGAGTTAAGGCTTAGGTTTTTCTTATCAGTGCCTTGCTATTAAAGTTTGTAACCCTAGGATTAAGAATAGAGAAAACTTTCATTGATAATATTGGACCCAAAAAAATCAGTGACCACTGATTTTCTTTAGAGCTTAAGACTTTAGAATTCAGAGATTAACCATGTGTTTTGATGTTTCACGGTGTAACCAAAAACCAAAAATATTTGATCAGAGATGCAAATGTAGTGCCCCATGCCCCATGGTTTCACGGTCTTGTTTTTTTTCGGTTAATTTTAAGGAACCACAAAACAAAACAATCGACTTGATGTTTGCCCTCTTGTCACTCGTCTCGACTCCATCTATAATCGGAGCACAAAAAAAAAGCTTTAGGAAATGGTGGTGTCGAAGTTGGGTAATGATAAGGTGGGAATGTCCATGATCGAACAATTGTTTCCGGAGGTTACAAGCTACGCGCTCAGATACTTGGATTACTCAAGTCTCTGCCAGTTATCAATGACGAGTTCCTCCATGAGAAAGGCCGCTAATAACGATGACCTCTGGAGATCCCTTTATTACCAAGTAATTTTGGACTCTCTTTAACCATTCTGTGTCGTTGTTATTGTAACTTTATGGAATAATGTGCTTCTTAGGTTTGAAGAAATGACATTTATTCTTGCCTCTTAGGTTTTTTAGAATTCATTGATTGCCTTAATTAAAGACTGGTGCGTCTTGCTGATCCAATTGTGCATCTTCATTTCAATCTCTACAACGAAGGAATTTACAGAGGAAACAAATGGTGGAACCCCGGTTAATGGCTTACTATGCAGTTACTAAACAAGTCATGGATGTGAATTATGAATTCTTTAGCATCCTCGATTCGAGGTCACTTCCTAGAATGACTAGTTTCTGGCTCAACTCTGACTATGTCAAGTGCTTCAACGGCATTGGTGAACTCTTCTCCGGGTACTTTACTTACCTACGCCTAATTACTACTGTATAATCTTTATGCTGCCACTGTCTTTTTTCTTTCTAGAAATGTGGCTCCTTCCAATGTTCTTTTAATGAAAGTTTGTGGCTCTTAATATCACTTGTATTCTTCGTCTTTAGGTTTGACGCAGTGATGCAAAGATGGGAGTTCTGTTTCGACAACTGGGAGATAGGGTTTCCATTGGAGGCTCTTGAAGTGCGGACACGGATTCTGGACAGTGTGGCTTGGGGCACCATGATCGCCCTCCATCACATTATTGGCGGTCCATTCAACGTCACCAATGTCTTTGAGCTTCATAATGGCCGGTGGCTCATGGTGCACCATCACTCCTCCATCATCCCAACAAACGGTGTGGAGAATCCGTAAGAAGTTGTTTTCATCCATAGTGTATGGTCTTGAATCAAATTTCCCCTAGAGGGAAAAAAAAAAGTATCAACAAAGCTTATTGGGAGAACCGGAGATCGACCGAGATCGACGATCGAGATGATCGCCCAAGATTATGAAAATCATGAAGATCGAGAAGGATCTAGAAGATTATCATAAATTAGTTTAGGAATATTTACATTTATCTTTAAAGATATATTTACCATAAATTAGGAAACTTAGATTAATCTCGTCTCTATATAAGAGAATGTATTTTGTAACTTTATTCTTATGAGAGTCTAATTATAATTCTTTCTAAACACTTTTTGTGTTCTTACTCTCATCAATTTATCATGGTATCAGAGCCAAGATCCTTTCTAGGGATTTTGGATCCGTTACGTTAGCTTCCGCAAAGAAAAAAAAAAAAAAATCAGTTTCGGGAACAATGATGTTTTCTCGCCCTCGCGAGTTTAACTTCTCCTTTTGATTAAACTACTCGCCCTCGTGAGTTATTTTTTTTTAGTCTCGCCATCGCGAGCAACATCTGAACCTCGCAATCGCGGGTGTTATTTTTATTACTTGAACCCTACGATCGAGTATAAACGTCGATGATCTAACGGCTGGGTTTTGTAGCCGCTTTGAACCCTACGATCGGGTATAAACGTCGATGACCTAACGGCTAGGTTTTGTAGCCGCTTTGAACCCTACGATCGGGTATAAACGTCGATGACCTAACGGCTGGGTTTTGTAGCCGCTTTGACCCTACGACCGGGTATAAACGTCGATGATGACCCGACGGCCAGGTATAAAGCCGCTATTTTGAAGATTTGTCCAATCTCACACGTGTTACCTCGTATGAGCTTGCCCGGGGGTATTGGTTGAACCGGAGATCAACCGAGATCGACGGTCGAGATGAGAAGCCCAAGAATAAGGAAATCATGAAGATCAAGAAGGATCTAGAAGATTATCATATATTAGTTTGGAATATTTACATTTATTCTTTCTCTATATATATATCGATGAATTTTGGAAAATGAATCTTATGAGAGTCTATTATAATTCTACCTAAACACATTTGTGTTCTTTACTCTAATCAATTTATCAAAGCTGCTTATTCGAAATATGTTAGATTGATAATTTGATAGTAATTTTCTGGTTGATTTCAATCTTAAGACAAAGTTATGTTTCTGATGCACAAGTCGAATTGCAAGTTGATAGTGAAACACAAAAGTTGGGGACTCGTATAATGGCGTTTTTGTAACTTGCACCAGATTCGTGATGATGGTATTCCAAATCCAAGATTTGGGAACCTCCGAATCCGACGGACTCAAAAAGAGTACTCAAAGATCCTACGGCTAGGGGAGTCTCAGAGAGGAAGTCAAATAAAGTCAACATCATTCGGAGGAAACGTGAGGAACAAAGATCCCACTTATCCCGGAACATTTGTATTGTTGCCGGTCCAATAATCAAATCCTACGAAAACATTATTAGTTTACTAAATATAATAATATGAACATCAGTGACCAATAACATTTTCATGTATAAAAGCTTATTTATCCGGCTGCTTGAATCAATAAAAATATGTGGTCCCTTGCTTTTCAACTTACAAATACATTTATAAGTTAATAATTCAATTTAATTCGTTATAAAAATATTTAATTATTTTAAAATTATAAATATGTTAAATAAAAAGAATATGAAAAAGTGTCCCTCTCATATTCGGACTGTTTTTATTGTTTAACACTCAAAATAATATATTCCCGTGGAAAATGTCTTAAATTGAAGTCTAAACGGATAGGCTTTCTTTTATTTCTAGCATTTTCTAAATTTTATATATTTTTGTTTTAAGATGTTTAAATACCAACATCAATGAGAAATCTGGTACCTCATGGGATGAAATATTTATTTTTACTAGTGCTGGGATAATATTCCAAAGTTTATCATAAAATCCTCAAAATATAACTTTAAAACTTTCTTAAGTGATTATACTCTTGATCCAGTTTTCTGTTATTCAAAAACCCCTAGCTATACTCCGATCCTTCTTAGATCAATATTAAAACTTTAAACCGTGAAACCATAAATTACTGCTAATGTATCGATGTTCTCTAGTTGACATCAACTTCTCCTCAAAGTGGTAAAATTTGAAATTGACACTTTTCCTAGGGTTGAAAAGTTATTCTACTTTGAGTTATATTTTTTGAAAAAGCAATTCTATAAAGATATATATATATATATATATATATATATATATATATATATATATATATGTGTGTGTTATCCATCTCATAGTAGTTATGAATCTGGTCTAAATTGCGATTAGTGTGTATTACTTTATATAATAAAACCACTCGTTAATATAAATGAATTTGTGTAGATATATAGGCCATGAAACATTCAAATGGTTGGTCTCCACATGGGTGCGCAAACTCTATCTTTGTCCAGCCAATCATAGTACTATATCTTTTGCAATTTTCTCTCTTTATTCCTTTACTTAAATTTTATTTTATTAATTTTACTTGTAAATCATTATGTATTAAGTTTTAAGATCTTCATTTAAAAATTGTTTTCCATGTACAGTTAACGTGTGCAGAAAAACAATGTAGTTAATCTAAGCTATCGTTAGATTGTTGTTGTTCACAAGTATAGAAACTTATTAAATTATTTGTTTATTGATCTTATTCCGGTTTTTATATACGCATCTTAAGAATTCTCATTTACTAATTACAAAACATTTCACGACAAGGTGACTTGTTCAACCAAATGATCAAAATCACAATTAAGTATCATTTTAATTATTTAATAATTGCCAAATGTGACCCTTGACTCTTAAGAGGGGGTTAGGGACACTTTGATTAGAAGTATAAGTTAAATAAACACACACACGAGCATATACATAGTATAAAGTATAGTCCATTATGTAAAAAGACAGGTGTCAAGCAAAAAAAGCTATGTATACAAAATTCTATTTCCAACCATTAAGGCGCAATAATGAGCAGTGTAAAGATAATCATTCACACAAATCCTTACTTTGATTGGCAATTTCTCTCCTTTTTGTACCATTTTATGATTTATAATAGAACTCTAAAAGCCAGGTTATAAAATTTTAAACCCTAATTATCCTTCCCACTATCGTCCTCTGTGGGTTTTATTTGTAGATGTACGTACGAAGCCTACTATCATTCCTTTTCCGTAGCCACTTAAAGGACATTTATAATTCATTTTTTAGATTTCGAACTATACAAAGATTTCCGAGTTTTTGAATGATAATAATAATAATTAAATATATAGCGATTATGGTTAAATAAGAAGATAATAACTCATTTGGAGAAACTCTCAATTTCTAGCTCTCAGATTTATTTGAAACATGCACAGATGCCACACCAATACATTAGGTTTAGCAAGTCAGCTGGTATCATATTTTCCTCTCTGCACGTAGAAAGCGTGTATTTATAGCTTATGATCTATGCCTAGCTTAAATCAAAGCCAGTATTTGATATATATGTATATAGTATCGACCTAAAATTGATTGTGTACTGATCACCAATCCTCGATATGTAAAATAGTTAATTCAAGATGCAAGGATATCGAACACATCAACTAACGAACTATATCAAATTTAATATGAAGTCTTTTTCTGAACGTATTCTTCTTTCTTTTTCTTTTCTTTTTTTATAACAATGAATATGTTCATTATTTCCAGATTTTTTCTGTCAAATATGAGTAAATTTTAGCGACGTATTAATAATTTTTTTCATAGAGGTGAAGACAGGGAATATGCCATCAAAGAAGCAGGGAATCAATAACAGCTATTTTAATAGAAAATTCATTGACTTGTTATTCAAGAAATTAACTTCTAGCCCATGAATCACCAAGTCAATGCTCATGCCTCATGATTTTTGAAGGGAAAAAAAACAAATACACATAGTTGTACTTTTCATTTAATTTCCCCTCAAAATTAAATCAAACAATACCAAAAAAAAAAAAAAAAAAAAAAAATAGTGACTTCGTCAATGCTTAAAGTATACGTATAGGCGTATACTCTAGAGTATACCGATTGACTATAGGGTTAAAATCAAGGCACGTACAAAGATAGATGAACAATAGATTCTCCTTAGAAATAGTACCACTAAATTGACTAGAATTCAGTAAACGAATTGAACTAATTTGAGACCAAACATGTGGGAAAGAAATATATGGAAATATTGAATGGTTTATATAATACAGTTGCTTACTAATTTTGAGATTCGTTTGAACAAGCTCTAGGGAATATACGGGGACAAGATACTAAGTTATTACTAAAAAATACACATTAAATATGTCTAAAATGAGAAAGAGAAATTCCGGAGATGGTGGTGGTGGGTTTGAAGGCATCTCTGCTTATTTATATCCTTAAAGGGAACAGAAGTTGTCAAAAATACGTCATACGTGACGTTTTCTGGCAATATTAAACATAATAAAATTAGAACTAAACGATAAAGTAATTTGTTTATAGGTAAATAAAGATATGGACTATGGAGTATAGGCTTTTCATCTTCATATTTTGCTTATTTTTATTAAAAAGTTTGGCATTATTGATTGTACAGAAAATATACGATTTATTGTAAGAATTTAAATTTTTTGATAATCTTAAGAGCACTTACTTTATTATACAAAATCCATGCATTACAATACTTCATCTGTTTCGTTTTAGTTATTGTTTTAGGACTTAAATTTTGTTTCGTAATAGTTATCGTTTTAGGTTTTTAATGCAAATGTTTGGTAAAAATTCCAGTATTATCCCTATTGTTTTAATGTTTTAGCCAATAAAAAAATTTATAAGATATATTAATAAAGGGTAAAACAGAAATTTAATGTTTTTCTTAATTTGTGTGAAAAAATCTTAAACGACAACTAAAACGAAACGGAGGGAGTACTAGAGATGGTGTAAATGTTTGGGATATAAAGTTTTTTTTTTCTTTTAAATATTGTACTATTGAAGTAAACGTTTGTGCGAGATTCAATATACTGTATAACACTGAAATTAAATAGTTAGACAATTTTTGTTTAAGACAAATTAAAAAATAGTAGAAAGAACATGTAGAAAAGTAATTATGCATTATATGGGTTTGATTGTAACAAAATGATATCGACACAAATTTAATATGTCACATGTCCTGGTTAAAATGGAGAAAATCTATTTGAAATCATTTTGGTGATTCTTTTTTACTTGTCATATTTTTTTGACTATTGTGTGAGCTATTTCTAACTTGAGTATCGAAAGATTTTCAAAATCGCTTTTTTGATACTCTGAACGATCTTAACCGTTTTTTATAGCATACGTTCATCTACTAATTAACGATCGATGTTTACCAATACAAAAGAATTTACGCATAAAGTCTCGACCAAAATTCTACACTAATAATAAATAAAAATAACTGGTTTTATTTTAATATATTATGTAGTTTTAACCCGATAATATTTGTTTGGCAACAATCACTATGTAGCATAATTAAAATTATTTTTGATGTTTTTAATTAGTACTTATAATATGGAGTTGGAAAAAGGTTTTTGCAAAGGTGAAAAACAAAATCAGAGATGGAAACACTTCCCACATGCTAATGTTGGTCCCACATTTTAGTGGCAGAAATGTAATTTACGCAAAGAACGAGGTCAAACCTGATTCCGTGATTCGTTTCTAATCCAAGTCCTGTTGCCTGCGTTGGAGCAAACGGCGAAAGTGACGGAATCTTAACGATGACGGGTGTTACTGTTAATGTCTCCTGGTCGACTTTCGTTACCGTAACGGCAACGGCACGCGCCTTCACGCTCCGTACCAGCCTTAAAAGCAAACACATTTATGATTATTTATCCAGTAACTAATAATTCCTTCATCCACTAACGCAATTGCATTTAATTGTTTAGTACAATGGTAAAAACTAAAAAGCAACGTCCCTATAATCTATATACTATTAAAAGAGAAGTACAAATGAAAATGGGTCGGGTTAAAATCAGAAAATTGACCCGAAATTCTGAAATCGGATCTTTGAATTTTTTTGGAATATAAATTCGAATTAATAATGAAAAATCGAATGAAAAATGAAATACTTATGGAAATCAAATAAAATCTGATTGTACTTATGGCAACTAATTATAAAAGCATATTCCGAACAATATTATACATTAATTACGTATAATAAATTTGTTCATATATTTTTGGAACTAATTCGATAACAATCAACGTTTTTATCATTAATTTCGTTCATTTTAGCCAATTATCATTAATTGAAAGATATCTTACTTGCTTCTAAAGATTTCTAGAAAATTTATCACATATAAGTAATACCCCATCTGTTTTATAAATTAAATAGATATTTTTATTTTGGTCGTGTACATTAAATAGATATAAAATCCATGTAACTAATTTTAATTTAATTAGATTAAATCGAAATTATAGTATTTTCATACCTATAGCTTACCAAAGAAGTTTAATTTTCAATTTATAAAGATTTATTGAATATGATTTTAGAATTATTCAACAAGATGATAAGTATTTATTAAATTTTGTGAATCATGAAAAATAATAACTAATTTTTAATCATTATATTTCATCTTTCAATCTCTCATCTAACAAATAAGATACATATTCTATTATTCCTATGTCCAAACTTCATTTTGTTGTATGACTAAATAATATTCTCATTAGAGCTGTCAAAGCGAGTTGATTCGTCCCGTTAAGCCCGTTTGCGATAGGCAAAAAATATTTTGACTTGTAGTTGTCGGTCCGCACGATCCGCGGGTAGCATATATGAAATACAAACCCGTCCCGCGAATGTATGCAGATTTGCGGGATTGTCTGTGGATTTTGTTTAAATAGTTTTAAAGTAACCAAAATTTAAAATACTACTAAAATAAATAAATAAATAAAAATACTATTATAGTTTGTTTAAATTACCACATGTTGAATAAATTATAATTTTATCCATAAATACTAACATGCGGGCTGATCCACCAATCCGCGGATGAAAACCGATTAAACCTATGACCCACTGCGAATTAATCCATGTGGCCCGCTTATTTGCGTGTTTAATATATTTTCCCAAATCTACCCCATAGTAAGATGATTTGGGCTCGACCTGCGATTTTTGACCTATTTTGACTGCTCTAATTCTTATGAATCGTCTAATTTTAGAATTTTAAAACACAAAATTCTATTTTGTAAATCATAATTAATACGATGGGTTTATTTATAAAAAATTTAACATTTTCTCTACAATTCGTTATTATGAATATTTATAAGTATACTACACGATTCGCTCTACTAAAAACACACAATATTAAACTCAACGTATGTAAACCAATATTCCCCCGCGGTGGACCGCGGGTCCGATCATAGTTATACCTTATAAAGTCTCTTTCAATTAGTAGAGTGTAAAATAAACAAAAATGTATGTATGAAATCTTTTATATAAGGGTGTTTAACTGTTTATGATGGAAACATTAATTATTTCATTTTAGCTAATGTCAAATTGTAAAAACATTTTCAACCAAATTATTTTTGTTAAAAGATGCATAAACCAAATAATTTGATTTTTTTTTCTGTAAAATTTAGTAGTAATGAAAATACAGTTGGTTTACAATAATAATGTGTATATATACAAAAAGGTGTCCAAATAAATAAAATTAAAATAAATTTTTTAATTTAGGTAGAGAGACAGTGAAACGGAGATAAAAGCAAACGGAGGTGAGAGTGGCGTTAACATAAAGACGCGAGAGCGAGTGAGAGAGAGAGATTCTTTTGTGTAACGGCGTTGTTTGAGAATTATAGTCACCAAGAGAGAGAGACAAAGTTTGGTCTCTGAGAAAAGACGATAGAAGCCGGGAGAGAAAGAGTGGTTACAGTTACAGAGAGCAAGATTTCGTTGCGTTACGATTCAGATCTCTCTCGATCGTTACTTACATGCATTAGAGAAGAAGAAAACGTGGAGACGGAATCCAAGGGGCTCGTGTCCTCCTCCTTCAATTTTATTCCTCAGCCATCTTTTATTTCGCACTGTTTCAGCTTCCGTGGTTCATCGACAGAGAGAATCAATCAGCTTTGGATTGAGAGCTGATGGGCGGAGGTTAGAAATTGACCTGACTTTGTTTTTCTTCAATATTTACGGCGAAATTAACTAACCGGTGTACATAACATTGCTAAAAGAACAGGTGAATATTTGTACGATGAGTTATGGAAATTATGCTCGGGACCTCTGGTTGATGTTCCTCAAGCTCAAGAAAGAGTTTATTATTTCCCTCAAGGTCACATGGAACAAGTAAGCTTTTTTTTTTTTTAAAGATAATCGGTGAAAATTTTATTTTGGTTTTTGAGACATTTCTATTTTTGGTGGCAAATTTTTTTTCAGCTCGAAGCGTCAACGCAACAAGTCGACTTAAATACGATGAAGCCACTTTTTGTTCTTCCTCCGAAGATTCTCTGCAATGTTATGAACGTTAGTCTTCAGGTATACTACTTTCTCGATTTAGCAATAGAGAATTAGTCTGATGGTGTCGTCCATTAGTACAGCAATATATAGAATCTTTGAAGCTAGAAATGATTAGATCAAATATGAGTGGCTTATGGCTTTGTTGAAGTTCTGGATCTTGTTTGATATCTTCATAGAAAACTTTGCTTTTAAACGTGTTGTTGATAGGCGGAGAAAGATACGGATGAGGTCTATGCACAGATTACTTTGATCCCTGTAGGAACTGTGAGTGACACAATTCACTTGATTTTTTTTAAGTTGTTTCAACTTTCTTTTGTCCAATGACTGCCATCTCTAAATGTTTTTCAACTGCAGGAAGTTGATGGACCTACGAGTCCTGATCCCTCTCCTCCTGAGTTGCAAAGGCCAAAAGTTCACTCTTTCAGCAAGGTTTTGACAGCGTCTGATACAAGCACGCATGGTGGCTTTTCTGTTCTAAGGAAACATGCCACCGAATGCCTTCCTCCCCTGGTATTAGAGAACAACCCTTACAATTTGTGCTTCGTTTCCTACTACCAAATGGTGGCTTTACATTTGATTATGGATTTCAGCCTTCGATATGAATTTCATTTGTTTGTTATCCTTTAGGATATGACCCAGCAGACCCCGACCCAGGAGTTAGTAGCCGAAGATGTCCACGGTTATCAGTGGAAATTCAAGCATATTTTTAGAGGTGATGAATCCATTTCCTCTTTACTTGAGGTCAAACTTCACGTATCCATGATACTTGAATAAACAAGATTTGCTGATCTTGTTTTACCTGAAAATCTATTAAACAGGCCAACCACGGAGGCATCTATTGACGACAGGGTGGAGCACCTTTGTTACATCAAAGAGATTGGTTGCTGGGGACACCTTTGTATTCCTGAGGTATACTTCACGCTGCTACCTTGTTATGTTTCTTTTCATGGTCCTTTGGTGGATTTTGAACTTCCAAACTATATTATATTGTCCAGAGGGGAGAAAGGAGAGTTGCGGGTTGGAGTCAGACGTGCTAATCGTCAACAGAGCAGTATGCCTTCATCCGTCATATCAAGTCATAGCATGCATCTGGGAGTGCTTGCTACTGCACGCCATGCTACTCAAACCAAAACTATGTTCATCGTATATTATAAACCAAGGTATACAGAGTTATAACTCTACGGGGATACCTGAGATGAGTTTTTTGAAACTCTGCTTATTGAATTACTCTCGGTTTGAGCAGGACAAGCCAATTCATCATTAGCTTGAACAAATATCTAGAAGCCATGAGCAATAAGTTCTCTGTAGGGATGAGATTTAAGATGCGGTTTGAGGGAGAGGATTCCCCTGAAAGAAGGTAGTCTGATTTTTTTCTTTGTTATGTTCCCTGCACTTTGTCCCCAAAGCTGTTCTCTAACCCATTTGTTTCTTTACAAAGATATTCTGGCACGGTTATTGGTGTTAATGACTGCTCTCCTCACTGGAAAGACTCGAAATGGCGATGCTTAGAAGTAAAATTCCTTCCACTTTTACATGTTTTTTAATGTTTATTAAGTGTGAAAACTCAATCAGTTTGCTACATGTTTGTGTAGGTTCATTGGGATGAGCCTGCATCGATTTCAAGACCCAATAAGGTTTCACCATGGGAAATTGAGCCGTTTGTAACTTCAGAAAACGTTCCCAAATCAGTTATGCTAAAGAACAAAAGGCCCCGTCAAGTTAGTGAAGTATCTGCACTTGGTGAGGCACAATCTAACCGCCACTGATCCTTGCTAGTACATAGCTGAAGTTTACGTGCTAAAATATCTCACTCACACATTATGTCTTTAGATGTAGGAGGCATAACAGCTTCAAACCTTTGGAGCTCTGTATTGACGCAATCCCATGAGTTTGCACAGTCGTGCATCACCTCACAGTGGAGTTCTCCTCAGCAATGTCATCGTGATGCAAATGAGGATGCTAAGAAATCTGACTGGATAAATAACTCTTACTCTGTGTCAAATGTATCAAAAGACTCAACACTGAACGACCAAATGGTTTCCCCAGTCGAGCAGAAGAAACCTGAGACAACTACTAATTATAGATTATTTGGAATTGATCTGATGAGTTCCTCCTTAGCGGCTTCTGAGGAGAAAACTGCACCCATGCGACCAATCAACATATCCAAACCGACTATGGACAGCCACTCAGACCCAAAATCAGAGATATCAAAAGTATCAGAAGAGAAAAAGCAGGAACCTGCGGAGGGATCACCAAAAGAGGTCCAAAGCAAGCAGAGCAGTTCTACAAGAAGCCGTACCAAGGTATATATATATATGCCTACATGGCTGCCGAGAAGTGTATATACATTGTGTAATCTGTGAGTTGCAGAACAGACACATTATGTATAATGTTTGCGGGATTGAACAGGATCCTGATTCCTTGATTGCTGAACAGGTGCAGATGCAAGGCGTACCTGTGGGCAGGGCTGTGGATTTAACTGCACTAAAGGGGTACAACGAGCTTATAGACGACATTGAGAAGCTGTTTGACATAAAAGGGGAACTGCAGAGTCGCAATCAATGGGAAATAGTGTTCACAGATGATGAGGGAGATATGATGCTTGTCGGTGATGACCCATGGCCGTAAGTAACACTCTTTTATCTCTTAGTCAATAAAATCACTACACAAAACTCATATCTGTTGACTTAATTTGGTGGTGCAGTGAGTTCTGTAACATGGTGAAGAGAATATTCATATGGTCGAAAGAGGAAGTGAAGAAAATGACGCCGGGGAACCAACTCCGGATGCTGTTAACGGAAGTTGAAACAACATTAACAACAGCTTCCAAAACAGATAACCACACCAACTAATTTCCATTCTCTTCTCTACTGTCTTTGTCTCCTTCTTATCTGCTTTGTCTTTTGGAATTATCTTGTTCTGTGGTCTGTGTTTTGTCGCACGGGAAGAACAAAAATGGCTTAAACATGAAACTACCTCCCCTTAGGCTAAAAATGGCTCGTTTTTTTTTGGAGCCTCTTGTGGAGAAGAGGGTTTATGGGGGGAGGGTTTTCTACTTTCAAACTAGGCTTTTGGAAGTTTTAATTTTTTCTTATTAGGAACTTGTGTGTGTAAGAGAAACGTATATGTAACGAACAGGAAAAAAAAAAAGAGAAAAATGAGATTGTGAATAACTGGTGAATGACTTTTGTGACTCTTGGATTATATACCTCATGGCTCTCGTGTTTTATGTTTCTTTTTCTTAGTTTTGTTTTCTTTTATTTATTTGAATTTGTTATTTTTCATGTAAGTTTTAATGTATATATACGTCTTGAAAAAAATGCAAACCCGACTTTTTCTCTATCGATTATTCGTATGGTACTATGGTGTACGCGTAGACATAGTCACAAACGAAGACGAAGAATTTTGGTTGTAATCTTAAACTGTATGGTACTATTGTGTTCTCCCTATATTAATGTTTGCAATAATGGATAATATATGTATTTTTTGAGATAATACATATATTATCCATTATTTCAAACATGAAATAACTAAAACTCAGACTCTAGATCTAACCTTACCAACAATTCATGGTAAACTTTGTTTTGTCAGACGAGGTCATGTATATGGCCGTTCTTGCCACCATGTTCACAAACATAATTGTATGGACCACATTTTCAATACTACCTCTGGACACGCTTATGTTCATTAGTGTATTATACCCTTACATCACTCACATGCATTAAAATATATATCAAATTTTTGCAACACAAAATAAAAAAGAAAATATCATTTGGGTTATCAGAGCGACGATAGATTGATTGAACTATCCTTCGCAGCATCTCTGGCCTCGATCGCATGTTTGAGAGAGCTTAGATTGAATGGAGAACAACCACCATTTTCATTGTTGGTCTGTTGTCTTGTTTTGGTACTTCTCTTAGTTTCCAACTTCATTATGAGAAATTACGGCTACACTTTTTGAGACTTAGGACATTTATATATAGTCACTCACTTAAATGGGTTTTCCATCCGTCCATTAAAAATTTGTGTTACAAAAACGTCACCTAAAATTATCTGAATGTCGTCGTTTCTGCAATGTTGCATTGTAACTTAAATGGAACTCGGTTATATGCAAACTACTTGTATTAGTCCAATTAGTCGTGTACAAACCATTCTCGCTTCAAAACAACAAAAATATGTCCACATAGTTTGACGCATGCTAATCTGGTGAGATTATGAATAGTGAAGTATGTCTTATAATACATAGTATTTCTTTGATTATGACAACTGTCTTTAACTTGTGGAAAAATGTTAAAATATCATTCTAAATCCCATATGAAAGATTAGATATGATTATCTAACATATAAGTTCAATATAATTTTATTTAGTGTATTATTTGGGAAAAACATAAAAACACATAATCGTGCATATTTATTTAGTTGCGTGGTCCAATATATATATACTCCATATATATATATATATATTTTGTGACGGTCCAATATCTATATATGTACCATATTAATACACCTAAGTATACGGATACCGTTTGGAGTTAGGTGTTATATAATGGAGTGATGACATACGTTACTTATTGCCGAGATTTGTGAAGGCAGTGGCTCTCACAATCCCTATCTTCATCCCCATGATATTATTCTCTTCTTTTTGGTTTTTTTTCTTTCCCAATATAGAGAAGTTTAAATTTAATTTTACCATTAAAAGCTCACCAAATACCAACTTATACATATTTATATCAAGAATTTATATGTATGTATCAATGTATGTATGTATACTGGAAAATACTATACTAAAATTGATGATCATCATTTTACTAATAAACAACTTGTTTTTTTTCTTAAAGATATAACAAATAACTTGTTATATATTATTTTAATATGATACTATTAAATATTAATCTATCAGCGTAACATATTTTTAAAATAATTAAACTTATTAAATTTTACGTATATTCTAGTGAGGAATTATACATATTATTTAAATTGCATATATGTGATTACTTATTTTATAAACTTATAGTACTATTTAGTAATTTGCATACTTTTAAAATCCTAAATCGAGGTGTAAAAGGTCTACTCTAAAAAAGAACTCGATCGCCTATAAATATATTTTAGTGGTGAGTTTTGTTCTATGTACCTGCAAGTTTCTCCAAAACATTTTGTCTTCTATTAAAAATAAAGAGAACACGATATATGGAGCGTCACAGAAAACACTCGGTCGGCGGCACAACCCTCCACAGGTGTCATCCCTGCCGGCGCGCCATTCCATACAGAATCTACGCCGTAATCCACACGTGTGGCATCATAGCTCTCATGTATCACCATGTACACTCACTTCTCACAGCAAACAACACTCTAATAACATGTCTTCTCCTCCTCTCCGATATTGTTCTCGCCTTCATGTGGGCAACCACAACTTCCCTCCGGTTAAACCCGGTTCATCGGACCGAGTACCCTGAGAAATATGCAGCTAAACCGGAGGACTTTCCAAAGCTGGACGTGTTTATATGCACGGCTGATCCGTACAAGGAGCCTCCGATGATGGTGGTCAACACCGCCTTATCAGTCATGGCTTACGAGTATCCGTCCGATAAGATTTCAGTCTATGTATCGGACGATGGAGGATCTTCGTTGACTTTGTTTGCTCTTGTGGAGGCTGCTAAGTTCTCTAAGCATTGGTTGCCCTTTTGCAAGAAGAACAATATTGAAGATCGGTCCCCTGAAGTTTATTTCTCATCAAAGTCACATTCTCAGAGTGATGAAGCTGAAAATCTTAAGGTATGTATATATTATTTATCAATTATGTTAGGTTTAGTACGTTTTTAATCTAATTTCGAGTTTTCGACAAATGCTTAGACGTAGGTCAACTTAACATAAGTCTTACGAGTCTTAGACCCATCGTGACCGTTCCAATGATTGTTAACAGTTAACACTTACTTCATAATTTCCTTAATTGTCTCTTTCCATTAGTAATCTTTTACCGAATGTAAAAATTATCATTCATTTTAATTACGTTGAATTGTGGAGAATTAACATATTTTATAAAGGAAAGAATATGGGACCAAAAAAAAAAAAATTGTCGTGGAAGAAGTAATTCATTATGACAATAAAAATAAAATGAGTAGAAAATGACAAAAATAGTTATTTGCTAAATTAATGGGAGCCATTGTTGTGTTGAAAGGGTCACTCCTTCAGAACCTTATCGTATCTTGTCCACGATAGTGGCGATTTTGTCCTTTATGACCTAAGACTTTGGAAGACTGTGACATTACCTTGTTCATTTATATGATTTTTTCACTAAACGATAAGAATAAGAATCGTCGTAGTTACCTAAATGATTTCTCCTAAACTGATAAGAGCATTAGTTATCTAAATGATATAAATTTTTATTTGTTTGAATTTTCAAACATCCATGATTGCACATAAGTGTACTTGAATTGAAATTTCCTACCACAATTACTATTAAGCATTTCTTTTTGGAATAGATATGTTTTTTTTTTCTTTGTTAAAGGAATAGAAATATTGTTCCTTGATATTCATCAATTATGAGTTAAATATTAAACAGTAATATTAAAGTTGGAACTTCTAAAACAAAGTGGAAAGTCTGTTTGACAACAAAATGATTTGGAAAAACTGGTTGACATAGTAGTAAAAATATTTTGAAACAGTGTTATAAATCAACTGTACGTAATAAACTATACAAGACAAAAATATTCATTTTGTGGTGTAACAGATGATGTACAAAGACATGAAGAGTAGAGTAGAACATGTGGTGGAGAGTGGAAAAGTTGAAACTTCGTTTATCACATGCGATCAATTTCGTGGGGTATTCGATTTGTGGACAGACAAATTCACTCGTCATGACCATCCCACAATTATTCAGGTAATTATAAAGAAAAAAAAAAACTTAAAATATTCTTTTCTCACTACTATTTATCATAATGAAAATTGCATTTTGAATATATTTACTTAACAATTGTACTGTGCCATTATTATTTTAAGTAAACAAAATCTCAATTTCAATTAATTTGAGGACAGGTGCTACAAAATAGCGAGACAGATATGGACACTACCAAAAAGTATATAATGCCAAACCTAATATATGTTTCAAGAGAGAAGAGTAAAGTTTCACCACATCATTTCAAAGCCGGTGCTCTTAATACTTTGGTATCAACTAAACCTAATACCTTAAACGATTTTTATTTCGATTAATTAGCATTTCAGTAGTTTAAAGATAACGTGTTTTGTTTTTATTATAGCTACGAGTGTCTGGAGTCATGACGAATGCACCGATTATTTTAACACTAGACTGTGATATGTATTCGAACGATCCTGCAACACCAGTTCGTGCCTTGTGCTATTTAACGGATCCTGAAATCAATACTGGTTTAGGTTATGTACAGTTTCCTCAAAAATTTCAAGGAATAAGCAAGAATGATATCTATGCATGCGCATATAAGCGTCTCTTTGAGATCAGTATGATTGGGTTTGATGGTCTAATGGGCCCAAATCATGTAGGAACTGGTTGTTTCTTCAATCGACGAGTTTTTTATGGGGCTCCGTCTAATTTGATTTTGCCTGAGATAGATGAACTTAAGCCCAATCGTACTGTAGATAAGCCCATCAACGCTCAAGATGTTTTAGCATTGGCACACAAAGTAGCAGGCTGTATCTACGAGCACAACACCAATTGGGGATCAAAGGTAAGATAAAAACAACCCTCGTAGATAAAAACAACACCAATTACCTTGATCTATTATTGATTTCCATTTGTTATAAAAAATTTCATGAAAACTAATGTTAGAGAACCTCACATCTAAAGAAAAATAGACTTTAAGTAATATAGAAGTGATATACATAAATCCACTAATTGTTAATCTATTTTGAGTTGAAAGTTAATGAAACTCAAAACTAAACCAGTTTCAATCTAAGTTAACCAATTAGAAATAGTTATTTTTTCATATGGCATATGTGAACTAATAGCAATTAGGTTCTCTAATCTTAGATAACAGTAGTTGACTTTTAGAAACGAATGATATGATGTCTTGATTGATATGAAACATGAAAAATATATTTCATAATGGGTAGCCTAAAGATAGATCTTCGATTCAATATGAGTCATTCGAAATATCTTTTGTTTCCTAGTTTGTTATACTGTATATTCAAATTATCATTCAAAACTATGCAGATTGGATATAGATACGGATCTTTAGTAGAAGACTACTACACAGGGTATAGGCTCCATTGTGAAGGATGGAGAACAGTTTTTTGCAGTCCCAAAAGAGCAGCATTTTGCGGAGATGCCCCAAAAAGCCTAATTGATGTAGTCAGCCAACAAAAAAGATGGGCCATTGGACTTCTTGAAGTTGCCTTCTCAAGGTATAGCCCCATTACCTATGGTGTCAAATCAATGGGTCTATTAATGGGATTAGGCTATTGTCAATACGCATGTTGGCCATTTTGGTCACTTCCTCATGTCGTCTATGGATTCTTGCCCCAACTTGCTCTCCTCTATGGAGTTAGCGTCTTTCCCAAGTCATCGGATCCATGGTTTTGGCTTTACATCGTTTTGTTCCTCGGTGCATATGCGCAAGATCTACTCGACTTTGTATTAGAAGGAGGAACTTATCGCGGATGGTGGAACGATCAAAGAATGTGGTCGATAAGAGGATTCTCTTCACACCTATTTGGCTTCATAGAGTTCACTCTTCAAACCCTAAACCTCTCCACACATGGATTCAACGTCACAAGCAAAGCCAACGATGATGAAGAACAGAGCAAGAGGTATGAGAAAGAGATGTTTGAGTTCGGTCCCTCTTCGACAATGTTCTTACCTATGACCACGGCGGCGATCGTGAACCTCCTTGCTTTTGTCTGGGGGCTTTATGGTCTTTTCGCTTGGGGAAAAGGACTCGTCCTTGAGCTGATGCTGGCGAGCTTCGTGGTGGTGAATTGCTTGCCAATCTATGAGGCTATGGTGTTGAGGAAAGATAATGGAAAATTACCAAAAAGAATTTGTTTCGTAGCTGTGATCCTCACATTTGTGCTGATTGTGTCAGGTTACTTCTTCCTCAAGTAACTGCACCCAGTATGGTTCTGTCGTTTGGATTAAAATAATATTACGTCTGCATTGTGGTAATTAGAGAGAATAATGTGATGAAATCCCATTTCTCACCTCATTGTTGAACATACATTTCGGTATATCAGTATATGTGTCTACGTACTTTGAGATATTTTGATGTGAATACATATAATAGACGATAAGACAACATTTATTTTGCTTATTTCGATCTATTTACTCTCGTATATATATTTGGTGTTTCACTTTCACCACTACTTAGGCTTATAAACAAATTAATTATACTCCAAAATTTTAAATAAAATCCCTAGCAAAGCCTGGAAAATGATCTAGTTAGTGGGATTTAATTTTCATACTCAAAATAGTAGATTAATGATAAAAATAAAATGATACTTATTGACTCTGTTTTTTCTCAAATGACTTTGCAAATAGAAACACAATTACTCAAAGATTTATCATACTTAATGGAAACTTCTATCACATTTTTATTAAAAGTGTTATACGACTCTTTATGTACACATTTATGTACGATTGTGTGGAAGTACAGTTGTCCACAATCGATATTTTGCAAGAAGTTAAGAAGTTGGCACTTGGCAGATATGCGTGACGTGAATCGTGAAGGCAGTGACTCTCCAAGCCCCAGTCTTCATCCATTTGATAGTTTCGCATCATTTTCAAGTTAGAGAATTTCAACTTAACTTCTCCATTGAAAAATTCAAATTGTATAAGATAAAATTCCACACGTCTCACTAAAATCCAACATGTGACAAAAGATTAATTACTTAAAATATAACATATGTTACTCCCTCTCCCTTTGTTCCTAATTAGTCCAAGTTTTAGAAAAGATTTTTGTTTCAAAAAGATATATTTTTTAGTTTTTTATTCCATTGTTTTTCTATAACTCTAAACCAATAATATTGTAAATTGTTTTTTACAATATAACTGGTTTACAGTTATTTTAAAATTTTATATTAATGTTTTTATTTTTAAACTATTGAAGTATTAAGTACATATTTTTTTGGTGGGAGTATCAAGTACATATATTAATTAAGTAAATATTTAACTTTTGTTTTTGGTGATAAATATTTTATAAAATCAAGGAATTAATGGTTTTATAATCTGTGGGTTTCAATCATCAAAATCCAAATATTTACATCAGTAATTGTTATATATATTTTTATACCTACGAATTTATCCTAACATATAAACAAATATAGTGTATATAAGTACTATCTATAGTGTGTGTGTGTATATATCATCAGAGAAATAATCAATCCAAAGAAACTGGCCTATATATAAGTCCTATTTATATATTTGTGGTCATTATTTTCTCGAAAAACCAGTTGCCTTCCTTAAAAAGATGGAACCTCGGAGAAAATACTCGACGGCCCTCCACACGTGTCATCCCTGCCGGCGCGCCATTCCATACAGAATCTACGCCGTAATCCACACGTGTGGCATCATAGCCCTCATGTATCACCATGTACTCTCAATTCTCACAGCAAACAACACTCTTATAACATGTCTTCTTCTCCTCTCCGATATTGTTCTCGCCTTCATGTGGGTAACCACAACTTCCCTCCGGTTAAACCCGGTTCACCGGACGGAGTACCCTGAGAAATATGCAGCTAAACCGGAGGATTTTCCGAAGCTGGACGTGTTTATATGCACGGCTGATCCGTACAAGGAGCCTCCGATGATGGTGGTTAACACCGCCTTATCTGTGATGGCCTATGAATATGCGTCCGATAAGATCTCAGTCTATGTATCGGACGATGGAGGATCTTCATTGACTTTGTTTGCTCTTATGGAGGCTGCCAAGTTCTCTAAGCGTTGGTTGCCCTTTTGCAAGAATAACAATGTTCAAGATCGGTCCCCTGAAGTTTATTTCTCATCTGAGTCACAGTCTCAGAGTGAGGAAGCTGAAAACCTTAAGGTATGTATCGCTTATCAACCAATAACTTATAAACGTATAATTAATTAGGTTTTGTATATTTTTTTCTTTCTTTCAACTGATGCGCATACGGCATACGTAGGCCAACACAATTCTTACTACTGTTAGAGACTTAGAGCATGATTATCGGTAGTTGCTTAATGATTCTCTTAGGTTTATAAATAATTTAAATTAAATTGAAAATGCTGAATATAACTAAGGAACGTTTCTTAGCTAAGAAACATTTTGAGAGTTAAGATGTGTCACGTAGATAAGAGCCATTATTAAGAGTCTTTGGATAATCATGCTCTTAGAACACCTCGATCAAAGGTCGCTCACATGAGTTTTCTACATTAAAAAAAAAAGTAAAAAATAAACAAAAAATGAGAAAATGAAATGGCTTTCCCATTTAAAACTTTGAAAAACTCATGACACTTGTCTTATTACAAGTGGTTCATTTTCTTCAAATTTAATATTAATTATATAACTAAATTATATTAAAATTATTATTATTTTACAGTTAAAATCCTCATTTAAAAGATTCTAATTATGGATAAAAATCTCTTAGTTCTCGTACTAAAAAATGATTTAAAACCGCCACAGCTGTTCCAACTTCCAAGAATTGTTAACACTTAGCTTACTTCATAATTTCTCTCATTGTCTTTCATAATTGTAATTCATTTTCATTACTTTTAATTATGGAATAACATGCTTTTTGGCAAAACAAACTAAATGGGACCAAAAAAACGAGAATTTATATCTGTAATGGAGAAGGAATCATTCATAATGACAAATAAATAAAACTGAGTAGAAGAAACAGACAAAAAGAAGCCAGTGGTGTGTTGAAGGGTCAATCCAACCTTATCGTACATCTTGTCGCCGATAATGCCAATTTTGTCCAAATAGACAAAAAGAAGCCAGGGTTTGTGTTAGATTTCCTCTAAATGATTTCTCGTAAACGATTGGAGTATAGTTATCTAAAATGATACTATCCTTCTGTTTCTAGATAATGAAATTTTGAGTTTTCACACACAAAAAATTAATATTTAATTACAAATATATTAATTTTGTGTACTGATTCAATTTTCGTTAAACCAATAGTGTTTCAAAATTTTAATTATTTTAAATCAATACTTTTTGAAATTTAAAATTCATTATTATTAGTTAAAATGTACATAGGCTCCGACTGGTAACCATTAAAAGAACAAAAAAAAACTGAATAAAAAGAACAATGCGGAATGGAACAAATAATTTTTGATGAACAAAAAAGAAAAAATGTAGAGAATGAATAAAATGTACTATTATGATGAATGGTAACCAAACAATAAAAATATCTTTAAAGATATATTAAATAGTAAATGAATCAAATTTCAATGAAAAATACTAAATATTTTTTATATTTATTGAATTTTATATTTAATTTGAAACTAAAATTAGTGAGCTAAATTTATATATATATATATATATATCATTTTAAATAATATTTAATATTAACATAAAATAAAATTGAAAGAGTAATTTAAAATATATTAATCTTTTACAATATAAACACTTTTAAATTTATTTTACTATTTATATAATTTTCAAATGAAGACTTAAGAGTAATTCAGCATAAAATTCTTATCAAAAATATTTTTTTCTGTTAATATATTGTAAAGATATGAAAATTATTATATAATAAAATACAAATATTATTGATAAATATTATTTTTTATTTTAAAATAAAAACGAATTTTAATATTTGTTCCTTTCTTGTTCCATTTTGTTCCTCATCAATTTTGGAGAGGAACATTTTTGTTCTAGTGTTCCTCTTTTGGTGAGGAATGTAGAGGAATGATGTGGAAAAAATATTACTTGTAAATGGTAAAAATATTGAGGAACAAAGAGGAATATCACATTCATTCTCATTCTTTTTCTAAATTATGGTTACCAATTGAAGCCATAATAGTTTTAAAAAAAATTATGGGTTTGAATGGTTTGCGAGTTTTTCAACGTCACGTTTCGAAAACATGATTTTGCCGAATATATAATATCCGTAAAAACTTGTGATGAATGATAACACATGAAAATAACAAGTGACATTTCAGTATATCTCACACGTTTTAAAATTATAACTAAATTAGAGACACTTTCATGTATATTTTTTTTGTCAAAACTTTTTTTTTGTTAATCTTGAAATTTTATTCATCTACTAAATAATAGTTTTTGGCGTTTTAAAAGAATCAGTTCTATTCAGTTTATAAATGTTATCGTTCTATTGGTTATGCTATATCAGGATTCACCTATTTTGCTATTCAACTATATATTAGTTGTTCTCTTTAAGTATACTAAAATCGAATAATTCATGTGCACCATAAGCAATATTTCTTTATGGTATAGCTTCCTTGATATGTATCAATTATGAGTTAAATATAAATCAGTAATTTGAAACTGGAGCTTTCAAGAGAAAATGGAAATAATGTTTGATTAAAAAAATTTGGGGAAAAATGGTTGAAAAAAAGAGAGGGAGAAACTGAAACACATACCAAATATTTTATGAAACAATTTGGTCCATCATAGCCTTAGGTTCTTGTCGACAATAATAATGGCGATTTTGTCCTTTACGACCCCAAGAGTTTGGGATACTGTGACATGTATCACATAATATTTCCTATTCATTTATTGTAATGTTTAAACATCCATGATATATCAATGATTTCTTCTCCTAAACGATATGAGTATATATATATTTGCTTAAAATTGTGTGGTGTTAATAGCTGATGTACGAAGACATGAAGAGTAGAGTAGAAAATGTGGCCGAGAGTGGAAAAGTTGAGACTGCATTTATCACATGCGATCAATTTCGTGGGGTTTTCGATTTGTGGACAGATAAATTCACTCGTCATGACCATCCCACAATTATTCAGGTATTATTATAACTCATTTTGTTTTGTATCGCATCGTATCATATAAAGAAAGTGTATTTGAGTGTTTTATTTTAGAAACAAAAGTTTCTACAATTAATAAGAACTCGTTTTTTTCTATTAATTTGTGGGAAAGGTGCTACAACACAACGAAACAGATGAGATGATGCCAAACCTAATCTATGTTTCAAGAGAGAAGAGTAAAGTTTCACCACATCATTATAAAGCCGGTGCTCTTAATACTTTGGTATCAACTAATCCCTAACTTGACAAATTTTGGCTTGGTTAAACTGTCATTTCTAAATAATATTTCGTTAACCACAAGTTTTGTTTTCATTGTAGTTACGAGTATCTGCCGTGATGACAAACTCACCAATCATTCTAACACTAGATTGTGACATGTACTCAAACAATCCTACAACACCACTTCATGCTCTATGCTATTTGTCAGATCCTAAAATCAATTTTGGTTTAGGATTTGTGCAATTTCCTCAAAAATTTCAAGGAATAAACAAAAATGATATTTATGCATCGGAGCTCAAACGCCCATTTGACATCAACACGATTGGGTTTGATGGACTTACGGGCCCAGTTCATATGGGAACTGGGTGTTTCTTCAATCGACGGGCATTTTATGGGCCTCCCGCTAGTTTGATTTTGCCTGAGATAGAAAAACTTGGACCAAATCGGATTGTCGATATGTCCATTAAGAACCAAGATATTTTGGCGTTGGCACACGATGTAGCAGGATGTAACTACGAGCGCAACACCAATTGGGGATCCAAGGTAAGATAACAATGAACCTTAGCTTTATGTATGTTGATTGTTTGGTAAAGTTTACATTTTTTTTGTTTCTTTACATCAACTAGTCTTCTCAAAATTCATATTTATAAACATCTTAGCAAAATTCATGTGTAATCAACATAAACACCAAACACACATAAAAATGAAAAAAAAAAATGTTTGCATTTATACGTGTATTCACATGTAAAAGCAAACAACATTTCGTTTGAAACAATCGACGCTCCAATCTTGATTTCTGTGACATTGTATTGTTATTACTTCCTAGCCATCAAAAACTAAAACTTCTTTATTCAATAACTAATTAAACATAAGATCTTTTTCAAAAAAAAAAAAAAAAAACTCAAACATAAGATGTTATTAATTGGCTAGAATAAAAAAAAACATATTTGTTTGTTACAAAAGTTGTAGTGTTACACAATTAATCTATTTGTCAAAACTTTACAGATAGGGTTCAGGTACGGCTCATTAGTAGAAGACTACTACACAGGATTTATGCTCCATTGTGAAGGATGGAGATCAGTATTTTGCAGCCCTAAAAAGGCTGCATTTTATGGAGAGTCCCCAAAATGCCTAACTGATATAATAGGCCAACAAATCCGATGGTCCGTTGGACTTCTTGAAGTAACTTTTTCAAGGTACAACCCAATTACCTATGGATTGAAGTCACTGAGCCTATTAATGAGCTTAGGCTATTGCCACTATGCATTTTGGCCGTTTTGGTCAATTCCTCTCGTCGTCTATGGACTTTTACCCCAAGTTGCCCTCATACATGGATTTAGCGTCTTCCCCAAGGCATCGGATCCGTGGTTTTGGCTTTACATCAGCTTGTTTCTCGGTGGATACGGGCAAGATCTATCAGACTTTTTATTAGAAGGAGGAACTTATCGGAAATGGTGGAACGATCAAAGGATGTGGATGGTAAGAGGACTTTCTTCTTTCTTCTTTGGTTTTACAGAGTTCACTCTCAAAACCCTAAACCTCTCGACTCAAGGATTCAACGTCACCAGTAAAGCCAACGACGATAATGAACAAATGAAGCGGTACGAGCAAGAGATCTTTGATTTCGGGCCCTCTTCGTCCATGTTCTTGCCCATGACTACGGTCGCCATAGTGAATCTACTTGCTTTTGTATGGGGAATTTATGTTATTTTCACTTGGGGAGAAGGACCCGTCCTTGAACTGATGCTGGCGAGTTTCGTGGTGGTAAATTGCTTACCGATCTATGAAGCCATGGTGTTGAGGATCGATGACGGAAAATTAACATCAAGGATTTGTTTCTTAGCTGGGCTCCTCACTTTTGTTCTTACAGGGTCATGCTACTTCCTCCTCAAGTAACTTCACCATTAGGTCATTATCAAAAAACTAAAACGCTTCACCATTAGCCATTAGGGTTAATTTTCAACAATAATGCTATGAATGCATCTTGCTTAAACTGAAGCAAGAGAGAGCAATGTGATGAATTCTTCTTAATATTTAGTTTTTGTCTACAATTAGCGCACCACTACCATATTTGAATCTAGGTTATGATTGGTCATTTCTTGGGTGATGGGCGGTTCATCATAAACAGATTCCAAATCAAATTAAAGTGAGGTAAACCGAACCTCTAAACCAAAGATAAAATTGACAGGTTTATACTTGTACCAGTTTACAGTGAATCTAGACTAATAATTGGAACATATACATCAATATTGCTAGGTGTTAGATTACGACATTATGAGGTACAAAAAAAATGGTACGTACATAGCTTTTTTTTCATCTCTTCTCTCTCGCCGACGCCAATACATTGTGAAGGCAGTGCCGTAGTGGCTCTCACAACCCCTATTTTCAACCACGTGGTTTTTTTCTCCTTTTTTATTCATGAGGGAGTTTTATATTTTCAACAAATACCATCTTTCCTTTATTTATATGTATGTGTGCATGTATATTCATTTGCTTGCACACAATTTTACTAATAACTAAATTTTAATTATTTTAATATAGGATACAATTAAGCTATCAGCTTAAACATATATTTTAAAAATTAAAAAATGGTTAAGTTTAAAAGAAACTTCAGTAATAGTCTAGTGAAGGAACTAAACCGTAATTAGCTTACATTACATAGATTAACCATTCATTTTGTGACACTGTTGAAATCCTAAAATTGTCGGGTAAACATATCGACTCTTTTTTACAACGAAACTCGCATATAAGGCTATAAATATCAACAATCTAGTAGAGATGACTTTACCAGTCTTCTCCAAAAACTATTTGTAAAAAAGAGTAACTAAAACGATGGAGCCTCATAGAAAGCACTCGGTCGTCGGCGCAATCCTCCACACGTGTTATCCGTGCGGGCGCACCATTCCATACAGAATCTACGCCGTATTTCACACGTGTGGCATCATAGCTCTCATGTATCACCATGTACACTCACTTCTCACAGCAAACAACACTCTTATAACATGTCTTCTTCTCCTCTCCGATATGGTTCTCACCTTCATATGGGTAACCACAACTTCCCTCCGGTTAAACCCGGTTCATCGGACCGAGTACCCTGAGAAATATGCAGCTAAACCGGAGGACTTTCCGAAGCTGGACGTGTTTATATGCACGGCTGATCCGTACAAGGAGCCTCCGATGATGGTGGTTAACACCGCTTTATCTGTGATGGCATATGAATATCCGTCCGATAAGATCTCGGTCTATGTATCGGACGATGGAGGATCGTCGTTGACTTTGTTTGCTCTTATGGAGGCTGCTAAATTCTCTGAGCATTGGTTGCCCTTTTGCAAGAAGAACAATGTTCAAGATCGGTCTCCTGCAGTTTATTTCTCTTCAAAGTCAGATTCTCGGAGTGGTGAAGCTGAAAATATTAAGGTATATATGTATATTATTTATCAACTAATAACTTATAATTAGGTTTAGTACGATTTTTAAGTTTTAATTTCGACAAATGCGCATACGTAGGTCAAACACAATTTTATGAGTCTTCTCGTTTAAACAATAAGTGGGGAAACCCCTCAAGACTGTTCCAATGATTGTCAAGTTCTTTCCTTTAGTAGTCTTTCGTCGAGGGTAAATTATAAATCATGATATAAATGGAGGAAAAAATACATGGATGGAACGAGTACTTTATAACGACAAATAAAAATAAAATGTGTAGCAACAGACAATGACAATGCAAGTTCTTACTCCCTCGGTATTTGAAAAAATGTCGTTTCAACTATTTTTGGGTGAATTAAGAAAGGGCACAGAATTACAAAACTAACTTTATGAGAAACGATTATTTACAATTATATTTTATATTTTTTAAATCAATTAAGAAATGGCACAGAATTTTATGAAAATCGATTCGTATCTGTAGTTTTGGTAATTTAGACTGATTAATTATGATAAATTAATTGAGGGTAATTTAGGAAATTTTATGTAAAAGTTGTTAAAATGACAACTAATTAAAAACACAGAAAAAATGCTAGAACGACATTTATTCAAATACGGAGGGAATAGTAAATTAGAATGCAATTTCAATTTTAAATATATTTATAAATACCTCAATAATTGTGGGGTGGTCATGACGAGTGAATGTTGACATGTTGTTGTCCATCATAGCATTCTTGTCGACAATAATGGTGATTATGTCCTTTCTGACCCCAAGAGTTTTGGAGACTGAGTACATCCATGATATTTCCTAATCATTTATTATTGTTAAACATCCATGACATTTTAATGATTTATCCTAAACGATAGGAGTATTAGCTGTCTTAATGATATTATAAGTATAGTAATTAAGTCTGTATTTCTTTGAATTTTTAAAAAGCCATGAGACAAACATATTAAAGTGTGAGGTGGAACAGATGATGTATGAAGACATGAAGAGTAGAGTAGAACATGTGGTGAAGAGTGGAAAAGTTGAGACTGCATTTATCACATACGATCAATTTCGTGGGGTATTCGATTTGTGGACCGACAAATTCACTCGTCATGACCATCCCACAATTATTCAGGTACTTCTAAGAATTTGCATTGTCAGGGTCCATATACTATTTAAAAAAAAAAAAAAATTCTTAAGAACAATAGTTTGCAACATGTGATTCTAATATCTTTATATAATTAAATCTCAATTCTAATTAATTTGACGATAGGTGTTGCAAAATAGTGAGACAGATATGGACAATACCAAAAAGTATATAATGCCAAACCTAATCTATGTTTCAAGAGAGAAGAGTAAAGTTTCACCACATCATTTCAAAGCCGGTGCTCTTAATACTTTGGTATCAACTAAACCTAATACCTTAAACGATTTTTATTTCGATTAATTAGCATTTCAGTAGTTTAAAGATAACGTGTTTTGTTTTTATTATAGCTACGAGTGTCTGGAGTCATGACGAATGCACCGATTTTGGTTGTAATCTTAAACTGTATGGTACTATTCTGTTCTCCCTATATTACTGTTTGCAATAATGGATAATATATGTATTTTTTGAGATAATACATATATTATCCATTATTTCAAACATGAAATAACTAAAACTCAGACTCTAGATCTAACCTTACCAACAATTCATGGTAAACTTTGTTTTGTCAGACGAGGTCATGTATATGGCCGTTCTTGCCACCATGTTCACAAACATAATTGTATGGACCACATTTTCAATACTACCTCTGGACACGCTTATGTTCATTAGTGTATTATACCCTTACATCACTCACATGCATTAAAATATATATCAAATTTTTGCAACACAAAATAAAAAAGAAAATATCATTTGGGTTATCAGAGCGACGATAGATTGATTGAACTATCCTTCGCAGCATCTCTGGCCTCGATCGCATGTTTGAGAGAGCTTAGATTGAATGGAGAACAACCACCATTTTCATTGTTGGTCTGTTGTCTTGTTTTGGTACTTCTCTTAGTTTCCAACTTCATTATGAGAAATTACGGCTACACTTTTTGAGACTTAGGACATTTATATATAGTCACTCACTTAAATGGGTTTTCCATCCGTCCATTAAAAATTTGTGTTACAAAAACGTCACCTAAAATTATCTGAATGTCGTCGTTTCTGCAATGTTGCATTGTAACTTAAATGGAACTCGGTTATATGCAAACTACTTGTATTAGTCCAATTAGTCGTGTACAAACCATTCTCGCTTCAAAACAACAAAAATATGTCCACATAGTTTGACGCATGCTAATCTGGTGAGATTATGAATAGTGAAGTATGTCTTATAATACATAGTATTTCTTTGATTATGACAACTGTCTTTAACTTGTGGAAAAATGTTAAAATATCATTCTAAATCCCATATGAAAGATTAGATATGATTATCTAACATATAAGTTCAATATAATTTTATTTAGTGTATTATTTGGGAAAAACATAAAAACACATAATCGTGCATATTTATTTAGTTGCGTGGTCCAATATATATATACTCCATATATATATATATATATTTTGTGACGGTCCAATATCTATATATGTACCATATTAATACACCTAAGTATACGGATACCGTTTGGAGTTAGGTGTTATATAATGGAGTGATGACATACGTTACTTATTGCCGAGATTTGTGAAGGCAGTGGCTCTCACAATCCCTATCTTCATCCCCATGATATTATTCTCTTCTTTTTGGTTTTTTTTCTTTCCCAATATAGAGAAGTTTAAATTTAATTTTACCATTAAAAGCTCACCAAATACCAACTTATACATATTTATATCAAGAATTTATATGTATGTATCAATGTATGTATGTATACTGGAAAATACTATACTAAAATTGATGATCATCATTTTACTAATAAACAACTTGTTTTTTTTCTTAAAGATATAACAAATAACTTGTTATATATTATTTTAATATGATACTATTAAATATTAATCTATCAGCGTAACATATTTTTAAAATAATTAAACTTATTAAATTTTACGTATATTCTAGTGAGGAATTATACATATTATTTAAATTGCATATATGTGATTACTTATTTTATAAACTTATAGTACTATTTAGTAATTTGCATACTTTTAAAATCCTAAATCGAGGTGTAAAAGGTCTACTCTAAAAAAGAACTCGATCGCCTATAAATATATTTTAGTGGTGAGTTTTGTTCTATGTACCTGCAAGTTTCTCCAAAACATTTTGTCTTCTATTAAAAATAAAGAGTAACACGATATATGGAGCGTCACAGAAAACACTCGGTCGGCGGCACAACCCTCCACACGTGTCATCCCTGCCGGCGCGCCATTCCATACAGAATCTACGCCGTAATCCACACGTGTGGCATCATAGCTCTCATGTATCACCATGTACACTCACTTCTCACAGCAAACAACACTCTAATAACATGTCTTCTCCTCCTCTCCGATATTGTTCTCGCCTTCATGTGGGCAACCACAACTTCCCTCCGGTTAAACCCGGTTCATCGGACCGAGTACCCTGAGAAATATGCAGCTAAACCGGAGGACTTTCCAAAGCTGGACGTGTTTATATGCACGGCTGATCCGTACAAGGAGCCTCCGATGATGGTGGTCAACACCGCCTTATCAGTCATGGCTTATGAGTATCCGTCCGATAAGATTTCAGTCTATGTATCGGACGATGGAGGATCTTCGTTGACTTTGTTTGCTCTTGTGGAGGCTGCTAAGTTCTCTAAGCATTGGTTGCCCTTTTGCAAGAAGAACAATATTGAAGATCGGTCCCCTGAAGTTTATTTCTCATCAAAGTCACATTCTCAGAGTGATGAAGCTGAAAATCTTAAGGTATGTATATATTATTTATCAATTATGTTAGGTTTAGTACGTTTTTAATCTAATTTCGAGTTTTCGACAAATGCTTAGACGTAGGTCAACTTAACATAAGTCTTACGAGTCTTAGACCCATCGTGACCGTTCCAATGATTGTTAACAGTTAACACTTACTTCATAATTTCCTTAATTGTCTCTTTCCATTAGTAATCTTTTACCGAATGTAAAAATTATCATTCATTTTAATTACGTTGAATTGTGGAGAATTAACATATTTTATAAAGGAAAGAATATGGGACCAAAAAAAAAAAAATTGTCGTGGAAGAAGTAATTCATTATGACAATAAAAATAAAATGAGTAGAAAATGACAAAAATAGTTATTTGCTAAATTAATGGGAGCCATTGTTGTGTTGAAAGGGTCACTCCTTCAGAACCTTATCGTATCTTGTCCACGATAATGTCGATTTTGTCCTTTATGACCTAAGACTTTGGAAGACTGTGACATTACCTTATTCATTTATATGATTTTTTCACTAAACGATAAGAATAAGAATCGTCGTAGTTACCTAAATGATTTCTCCTAAACTGATAAGAGCATTAGTTTTTTTTTTTTTTGGTAAAAATAAGAGCATTAATTAGTTATCTAAATGATATAAATTTTTATTTGTTTGAATTTTCAAACATCCATGATTGCACATAAGTGTACTTGAATTGAAATTTCCTACCACAATTACTATTAAGCATTTCTTTTTGGAATAGATATGTTTTTTTTTTCTTTGTTAAAGGAATAGAAATATTGTTCCTTGATATTCATCAATTATGAGTTAAATATTAAACAGTAATATTAAAGTTGGAACTTCTAAAACAAAGTGGAAAGTCTGTTTGACAACAAAATGATTTGGAAAAACTGGTTGACATAGTAGTAAAAATATTTTGAAACAGTGTTATAAATCAACTGTACGTAATAAACTATACAAGACAACAATATTCATTTTGTGGTGTAACAGATGATGTACAAAGACATGAAGAGTAGAGTAGAACATGTGGTGGAGAGTGGAAAAGTTGAAACTTCGTTTATCACATGCGATCAATTTCGTGGGGTATTCGATTTGTGGACAGACAAATTCACTCGTCATGACCATCCCACAATTATTCAGGTAATTATAAAGAAAAAAAAAAACTTAAAATATTCTTTTCTCACTACTATTTATCATAATGAAAATTGCATTTTGAATATATTTACTTAACAATTGTACTGTGCCATTATTATTTTAAGTAAACAAAATCTCAATTTCAATTAATTTGAGGACAGGTGCTACAAAATAGCGAGACAGATATGGACACTACCAAAAAGTATATAATGCCAAACCTAATATATGTTTCAAGAGAGAAGAGTAAAGTTTCACCACATCATTTCAAAGCCGGTGCTCTTAATACTTTGGTATCAATCAACTAGCCCTAAACTTTAACCGATTTTCAGTTTGATTAACAAGCATTTGAGTATTTTCAGATAACGTGTTTTCTTTTCATTGTAGCTACGAGTATCAGGGGTGATGACAAATTCACCGATCATTCTAACACTAGACTGTGATATGTATTCGAACGACCCTACAACACCGGTTCGTGCTTTATGCTATTTAACAGATCCTGAAATCAAATCCGGTTTAGGATATGTGCAGTTTCCTCAGAAATTTCTAGAAATAGGCAAAAATGATATATATGCATGTGAAAACAAACGCCTCTTCAATATCAATATGGTTGGGTTTGATGGTCTAATGGGTCCGACTCATGTGGGAACTGGTTGTTTCTTCAATCGACGGGCTTTTTATGGGCCTCCATCTAAGTTGATTTTACCGGAGATTGATGAATTGAGGCCATATCGGATTGCGGATAAGTCTATCAAAGCCCAAGATGTTTTGGCATTAACACACAATGTAGCAGGATGTATCTATGAGTACAATACCAATTGGGGATCCAATGTAAGATAAAAATCAACTCTCATAATTACTGTGATCTAGTATTTATTTTCACCTGTTTAACATATTTTTCTGTTTGTTATAGTACATAACTCGAAAACTTATCATTCAAAACTATGCAGATTGGATTCAGATATGGGTCATTAGTAGAAGACTACTACACAGGGTATATGTTCCATTGTGAAGGATGGAGATCAATATTTTGCAACCCTAAGAAAGCTGCTTTTTATGGAGATTCCTCAAAGTGCTTAGTTGATGTAGTGGGTCAACAAATCCGATGGGCCGTTGGGCTTCTTGAAATATTGTTTTCCAAGAAAAGCCCAATTTTCTATGGATTCAAATCATTAGGGCTGTTAATGGGCTTAGGCTATTGCAACTCTCCGTTTCGGCCATTTTGGTCAATTCCGGTTACCGTCTATGGGCTTTTACCTCAGCTTGCACTCATCTATGGAGTTAGTGTGTTCCCCAAGGCATCTGATCCGTGGTTTTGCCTTTACATCTTTTTATTCTTTGGTGCTTATGCCCAAGACCTATTGGACTTTTTATTGGAAGGAGGAACTTGTCGGAAATGGTGGAACGATCAAAGAATGTTGATGATAAAAGGACTCTCTTCATTCTTCTTTGGTTTTATAGAGTTCATTCTCAAAACCCTAAACCTCTCTACACCTAAGTTCAACATCACCAGTAAAGCCAATGACGATGACGAACAAAGGAAGCGGTACGAGCAAGAAATCTTTGATTTTGGAACCTCTTCGTCCATGTTCTTGCCTTTGACTACGGTTGCCATCGTGAATCTGCTTGCTTTTGTCTGTGGGCTTTATGGTATTCTCTTCTGCGGAGGAGAACTCGTCCTTGAGCTGATGCTGGTGAGCTTTGCGGTGGTGAATTGCTTGCCGATCTACGAGGCTATGGTGTTGAGGAAAGATGATGGAAATTTACCAAAAAGAATTAGTTTCTTAGCTGGGAACCTCACGGTTGTTCTTATTGTGTCCAGTTACTTCGTCCTCAAGTAACTTCACCCGTTTGGGCTAATTTACAACAATAATACATCTGGCTGGTTCAAGCGGAAGAGATAATGTGATGAATTTGTGTAACCAATATTTATAATGTGATGGATTACATTTTGATATCTTGAATCAGCAAAATTAAGATTTACATTGTGTATCGATCTATTCACTAACAAAACTGGTATTTGCTTATTTCATTCGGGGTTTCGAGTCAAACCGGTGAAGTTTGAGGAGAATCTGGATGGTCGTTGTCGTCACCCACAGAGGTTTTGGTGGAGGAGATGGAAACAGAGGAGCGACAAAGAGGACAAGTGTTGTGAGAATAAAGCCAAAGGTGAATACAATCGAGATGAAATATGTGTTTACATAAAGGCATTTCCACCAACTCTTCCTTCAACTCGAATTCTCCCAAACAGACGCAACATCTGCACCAATTTTCATTATCATCAATACCAAATCAATCAATTCTTTCAATCGACCAAAACAAACAAAAACCAATGGTCATATATTAAAAACAAGGACTTGAAATGTATAGTATTCAAATTTAGGATATGAAATTCTAGCAGAATTCTAGAGTTTTTCGAGAAAGGTACGTGTTACTATTTAGAATGAGGACAAAAATCCAGTGAATAAAAGGTATATGTTGTCTAACATCTTGATTTTGGTGTTATCTGGAATTTAGACTTTCCGTCTTTGCTTTTAATATTCCTTAGCTCTAAGCAACGGCCTAAAAACACTTATGAACAAAGAGCATCTCAATTCTCAACTTTCAAGAGGATAATTCTTACATATCTCAATTCGTCTATTGACACTGTTAACATAATTCCCTAAAAGTCCAAAGCTCATGAAAACTCACAGATACTAAGACTGAATTGGCCAAGTAAAGGATTTGATCAATTCATTTTGAAAATCAAAACACTGAAAAGATCTAAAAAGGTTTTTGTAAAAGTAAAATTTTGAATAAAAATGGATTTTTGTGGGGCTAAATTTCTTTTTAAAACAGCAATTCTTCTATTCAGACATTTCACAAGTTTCTAAAGCAAGACAAAAAGAAAGGATAAAAAGAAACAGGAGTAACTTACAGAGAATCTCTTGTTCCTAGTTCTTCATTGAACAAAACAACATGAAGCTTGTCTTTAAGCTCTACTTTCACATCTAACAAACAAACCTGCAAAATAAAACACAATCAATCTTAACACTACTCTCTCTTCATTCAACTTTACATAACAGTACGATAGAGAAAACAGGACCATTAGCTCTAACATTTCTTGATGTGGATGATTCAGTACTTTTGCATATATATCTACAAAGACAATGAGACACTTACCGAGGGGAGATGCGAAGAAGTCTGGTGGCTCGAAGAAACAGGAAGAATCATTGGAGAAGGAGAAGAGAGAGAAGAGGCTCTTCTCTTGAGGTAAAAGAGATAGAACAAGAGGAAGAGAATGATGGAGAATAAGATGGGAATGGAAAAGATGAAGGCTTGGTAGAGTTTAAGTTGAATTGCTTGCGGGTATAGGTGTGGTGTGATTGGTGATTGAGGATCAACCATAACTTGAAAAGTTTTTTCAAAATCAAACCCAACAAAAAAAAAATGAAATTAAAGGAAACACCCAAATGAGAAATGAGGGTTTTAATGGGAGCTAAGGAGGCACAAGAGAAGGTATATATAGATATCCTGTGTATGTGTATATCTACCCAAAAGCAGGTAACTGTGCAACCATATTGGATTTGGACAGAGATTCTATAATGATATAAAATATCTATAACTTCCTTTTTAGTAAAATAAAAGTAACTTGTACACTATTGAAATGCATGTTTATATACCAAATTGCAAGCGATTTTACTTGCAAGTTGCAACCATTTTATTTTGTAGATAAGAGATTTACCTTTACAAATGCAAAATTCAACATATATCCTAAGTAGGGGTTAGATGACATGTCCACATGTGATGTGAATACATGGTTATGTACATAATCAGTTAGGGGAAGTGGTGAATAAAAGAGCCTTTTGGGTATATAAAATATAAGGGTATATATTCCTTATGGCTCTTTTTAATATAATGAAAAGGTAAGAAGTGAGTAAGCAGGTGATGAGGTTCCACTAAACAAGATGAATAGAAACTTTATATAATGCGTAAGGATTAGATTCAAGTGTCTCAATCCTCATTAACATGGGACCTATATAATTATTATAACCCATCATTTCATTTGCTGACTCAGGTTGGTTTTCGATTATTTGACACTAGCTAAGCATCAATCATAGGCTTCTTCTTTGCCTACCCTTCCCCAGAAAAAAATTGAAACCGAAACAAATGTAAAAAGTTTTTTCTTTGGCAACTAGGTTTCTACACCAAAATCTAGAATTCTTGGTTATCAAGTCTAAGCGAGCAGATAAAAACTTATCGATCACCAACTTCAACCAATAGACCAAAGGCACTACAATACAACCACACTGTTACTCTGTACATCTTCTATAGACATTCATTTCTTTTTCCTTTTTTTTGCATTCATTTCTATATTCTTCTATTTTACTTTTGGAAAGTGGTGATTACTTAAATAAAGATATACCTATGGCCTCTTCACTTGGATTAGGACAAGATTCTCAATTCAAATCTAAGAATTTTCAGCTATTAATTTTAATAAGGTACGAAACAAGTCAATAACCTACCAATATTTGTTTTTTTTTTTTTGTCATCTGGATTTATTATTTATTGCAAATTCTGAGAACTGTTACATAGACGATTCTACAACGGACAATTCCTTCCGACCCTTATTAGATCCACGACAGAAGACACCTCCTTCACCTCCTTCTTCATGCTTACCTCCTTCACCTCCTTCATACTCACTTCGTTCATCTCCTTCCTTCATGCTCTTGATGGACAATATTTGTTATTTACCGATATTATATAATTTTAAGTTAAGCAATATTATCCTGCTAGTTTTTCACATTTCATCCAAAAGAAGATTTCTAGTGAACTACTCAACTCAAACACAAATGAACAGTCAACCAGTAACTTCATTTCTCAAATCTGTTAACTTTAGGGAAAATAGTGTTTACACATTTGAACAATAATTTTTCACTACCAGCAAAAGCAGATAAGTTTTTTGACATCTTTTAATAGAATGACACATAAACTTACCAAGATGATTGTGCCTAGGACCCCCAAACAAATATCTTAGATTTAGGATTTGATTTGTGACCCACATTGATCAGTGTTTTCCCTTTACCCTTTAGCGATAGACAGCTTTTTGTATTTTACGTTTGTTTATCAACAACTTGGCCATTTTAGTATGGCATATATATTGCTCATTCTGTTGAAGTCTTCCATCGAATTAGCTATAACTTCCCATATCATTTTCAATATAAAATCCGGTGTGGAAAGACCGTCTACACACGCAGTGACTAAGATAAGCCTAGTAGTAGCCTACCATGAACATTATCACAAAAATATCTATAATCTCAATATGTTCCATTAACTACATAATAAATATTTATGTATATGTCTATCACTGGTGGTAGTGGATCCTGAGGGGTGACCTCCCTCACTCATAGTGGGAATGATGAAAAAGATATCACTAACTTAGATTCTAAATAGATGAGTTTAGGGATTATAAAACTATTTGATAAAGCTTTGCTAAAATACAAAATATAAAAACTCCTGAACTTTTCAAATCGTTTTAAAGATCTTGGTAGGAGCAGACACATACTAACTTTTTAAGGTCATGTTGTTCTTACGGTTACTGGCTAAAGGGCTGTAATCTCTTATTTTGTCTACACTACATTTTCTTACTAACCTCTCAGAGAGAAGGAAACTTTTATCTCTACTATACATTGGATTAAATTCAATATAACACATATTACTTCATATGTAGTCATAACTACATATATTTCATCCAATTTCATTCATATGTTCACAGAATTTTCTCTAGATCGGTACACCAAAATATACACCTGCTAGGAAAATTAAAGCAACTTAAAGAAATGCCTAGTCACTAAATCCTTAACTTCGATTGACAAGCATCAAGCGATGATTTTGAAAGGCTAAAGTCACAGAAAGAATCAGGTAAAAAGGGGGGAATTTACCTTTTTAGGTGAAAATGTGATGTTGATGTTTGCTTAAATTCCAAGGTCAAAACTTGGAAGGTGTTGCAGATGTGTCTTTTAGCCATCATTTGTGCCAGTAAAAGATCTTTCTTTGTGCCAGCAAAAGAGCTATCACGCACCAGAAACTGTTGGGGATAAGCAACGTGAAAGGTTGGTAGAGGCCAAGGACATGTCACTATGGAACAATAAGTATATGAAAAGCTGACATCTAGAACCTGTAAAGTGTAAAGAATATGTGATGCCTGTGTCATGGGACATTTTCTAAGCAAACATAAGCCAGTCGATATGAGTAATGCATGTTTTCTGGGTGGACCCAAGTTTTCATCAAATTGATAACTCACTTTAAGATGCAAGTTATAACCAAACGAGATATATAACTTTTGATAAGGGGAACAGACAATAACTCAATGGTGTACAGTTGTATCTCAGCCTTAAAACAAATTGTACTTTGATTCTATTAAGCTTTTCAATCTACACCAATATAATTCCGTACTCACCTCTTGATGAAACAGCCTTCCATTTAGTGGCTTTTACTGATATATGGTGCTTTTGTTGAGGACAATGACACTTGCGGCTTATTATCAGAACATGTTCCCTGCCATGGTTGATCTCTGAAGAATGAAAAAGTATCTGATTGACTGCAAAGAGAAAAATAAAGACGGTTCATTCTGTTCTAAAGAGGTTTCCCGAATTAATAGCATGAAGAAAGCTGATATGTAAAAAGAACAAAAAACTAGAGTCAAATCCACACATAAATGTATACATAGATGCATGGTCAGTGACATGTAGATTATTGTTAAAAAAAGGTGAACCAGTCTCACAGAGTGCTAGAAGAAACTGATTTCAGCTCTAACTGTCATATATGTATGAGGCCAAAATATCCTGGATTAGTTGAATACTTTCAGCAAGAAGTGAAAAGATAGGGCATTTTGCTAGTCACTATCTCCAATAGTAACTGTAGAAACATACCAAAAAAAGGGATAAGAAAGCATGCGCATAACAAGATAAGCATCAAACCTTTTGTTGTTGGATTTACTGTGTCTGGACTGGACTAGACTTAGTGCTCCGTACTTATGCAATTGCCTCTTTTTGAACACTGAAATCGTAAAAGGGAAACACATAACACTTTACATAGCCAAAACAATAGCTAGTCAAGAAGTCATTATTATAAGATGTTCTTGATAAGAAGAGATAAAATAGTTATAAGTTCACAAAACTAATGGCATTACCAACTCGATTTCAACTAATCGTTTTCTGAAACTTTCTGCCACAAATTTATTCCAACAAATAGTCGACTAAACTACGAAACCTATCCTTTGAGAACAAAAAAAAAACTAGGAAACAAAGCTCCAGTCTACAAAAAAGACAAACCTGTTCACACATTTCTGCACGAAATCGGAGAAACTGAAATCCTATAACGATTTAATCTGGAATACTAAGGAAAGTAACTGAAGAACGAGATTGAGCTCTAAATAGACGAATGGTTCCGTAATTTCTGCTGGATATCTGCAACTCCTGATAACTACTATATCATCGTCGTAGACCTTTCTCTTCTGCTTCATCTCTTCTTCTCCACCATTTTTTAATTTTCGCATCCTTTATGATAATAAGAACCAAAAAAAAAAAAAAAAAAAAAAAATTGTTATTTTGAATTTTCGAAAATGGGCCGCCAAAACTTCACATTGCACTCTAGGCCCAACAAACTTTTAGTTTTGACGGTAAATATTCCCGATATTTATATACCTTTTTAATATTTGGTCTTGTGGAATTGTAGTTTGTATATAATATAAGATGCAATCGTGTTGGAGGTTTTGATTTAACATTTGACATTTGAGGAAAAAGTCTTTCAGTCATACTATTAAAGTATATTCTTCTAGTGTTAATTAGATTATGTCTTTTGAGGAAGGTTAGACTTAGATGGATAACTTCAAATCGTCGATATCTCAATTCGCTTTCTTCACGTAATTTGCTACTACCAATTTACAAGTTGACCCCGTTATCTTGGAAATGTAGGCTACGTTGACATTCTTTTAGATTTATCATTTTTTTTTTTTTTGTCAACTATAATATTTTATGGGTCCTCGATTTTTCAATAGTTAGATATTTTTCTAGTTATTCTACTTTCTTAATATGTTCATGTTCATTAATATGCAGCCGAATTTGAAGAAGTTCATCTTACGTGTGATTAATATTTATACAAATTCTTGCGGTCTCGCTAGCTTCTTTTGGACATTTTCCACATGAATGTTAATGACTGCTTTTGACAACAAGACAATTGATATTTCTATTAACAATATGATTTTCTTAGTTCAATAAGAGCACATTAAAGCTTAGTATAATTAAAATAAAGGAAAAGTGATTTAATAATATATATTGCTCTTTGACGTCGTCAAAACCACTGAATAAAGTGATTTTACTGGCGACAAAAGACAAACTATTTCATTGTATCTTTGTTATTTTATATAGCCGACCATCCATAATGATTACTCTTAAAATGTTAATTCTAATGTTAGTGACCACCGCTTTGTCGTTTTGTTTTAATAAAACAAGGACTACAAATTTTAGAATCTAACGTTTTAGTCGTATTGGTTTGTCTCCATATGTTTCATACAAATATACAATCGTACCATAATGAGTGTTACTGGGGACTTCAAAAATCTTGATTAACTAGAGATACCGTTAAAAGCTCGGAGAGAAGAAACAAACAAGTTTTTTTTTTTTTGTATCACAATGAGTCTTATGTAGATTCTTTTGAGACATATACAAAAATATTCAAGTGGATGGTTTCACAACAACTATGACATTTCTAGTGAAACTCTTTCTATATTTTCACACCGGCTATATGTCTATGTCTACAAAGAGATACTAGCCGGTTTCTCAACTTGATATGCTCGTTTTATGACCATTAATTTCAGAGGTGGTCTACAAGCGTTATGACGCTGATCAATTGATGAAATGATCGGCATAAAATTATGTCGTATATTTCATTGCAAGAAATAAAGCTGGAAAGGGTTGAAGGTTTCAGAGGATTCATATATAAGGAAGACTCAGAACATTAACGGTTTTTGCGCCGAATAATGAGAAGCTGATTTTTAGTAGAGATTTATAAAAAACGTTAGAATAGTGATTGACAAATTGTTAATACTAAAATATTGAAGTTGTTCTTTAGGAATTACGTCAATTTAGAAACTGGTCGGTAGCAAATTAAAATGTGTTTTATTGTTGTATACGTTTGGTTGAGTGAAACTTGTATCAGTTTGCTTAAATGACTTGGTGTGTGTGTGTTCAAATTCGTGAGTTAATTGATGTGGCGTTGGGTTCTTTGCACCTAAAGTTTAGCCAGCAAAACCTATTTCTAGGAAGAAAAAAAAAACATATTGATTTATTACACTCTAATCTGTTTCATGGGCATGGCAGCACGAGTTATAGTGTTATACTCAATCCGCAAAGACTCCGAATATATATGAAATAAGAAATCGAGACGATAATTCCAGATCATGTGATGGATCTGATATAACTTCCCGACCACTACTTTTGTATTAATGTATAAACGCCAAA